CAACTCTGGCATCCTCTCCCCATTCAAATCATAGCCAACTTAAGTCGCTCTGAAAATTTCAACAATCTCCTGCAGTTTACAAAAACAAAAATCAAAAGGCCAATAAGTGCAGCGCCTACATTGAGCAAGCTTTCAGGCTACAAGAGTTGCGCACTCAAGAATAATTTGTAAAACCGCCACTGAGGAATCATCGTACTTCAAAAGGGGGTTGGGGGAATATAAATTGAGGCAGCCGGAGTTTTCCTCTCAAGACAACATAAAAGGGAGTAGCGTGCTCAAAAAGCAGTATATGCCAAGAAAAGGTGCTACTTTCAACAAATATACTCCACAACCAAACGGCAAAAGGAATGTGCTTTGCATATAAAGAAATCTGATCTTTATGCATTTCAAACTTAACAAAATACTTATATCATCCTTTGTCGGTCGGGAGGTTAGAATATAAATCGCAAATGAGAAAATCATGTTAAAAACTGCAGTTATCAGCCCAATATTTCATCTTTATGACTTCGAGACTGCAAAGTTGTTCCAATGTTTCCAACTGTTAGCAAAAGAACGCCAAACAAAAAGATATTTTGGAAACAGATTGAACGCCTGATGAGAAAAAATTATATATTCCACCCGATCATTGACATCTTTCAGAAAAGAACTGCACACAAAAAAGGGCAACCCGCGACTAAAGATGAACAAAAACTTAGAAGAAAAAAAAGCACGAAAAACAGAGAGAGCAACAGACATATAATACTAACGGATCGACTCCATTAGCTGCAAAAACAAGATGATCGGACGCAGAAATGGACGAAGGCGGTTCGAATAAAAAGAGGAGAGATCAAAGCCGGATCCAGGGTCATGAGTGAGGAAAAGAAAGACGCAAACGTGAGAGAAGCATTATCAGGAGGAAAAGCTTTATCCTTTGGCAAGTGCAGTTATAGGTAAAGCTGCGTGGAATTTAGGGTAGAGGAGATGGAAACTCACAAGAGTTTAATAGGTGGCGATAGGGGATTAGCTTTTTGTTGCTTTGTCTTTGTGGAAACGTTTGTATTAAGATGAGAGAAGAATGCGATAATGGTGAGTTTAATCGCTGGATGATCCTTCTTCCGTCCCACTACTGTGTTGGTCTTTTCCCCCGATGGTTGTGTATCGTAAAACCTGCTTTTGTGTTTTTCATTTATAGGGCATGCAAATGTGGCTTCCTCTTAACCATAAAGATAACGGGAATAAAAATCATTTATGTAAAATATCTCTTCCTTTTATTTCATTTTATTTATTTTATTAATAATTTATAGTTTTTTTTCCCTCGGATTTCATTGTGTTTGAATTGAATATCAATTTATCGATCTCTCTACTTTTTTTTTTCGCCTTGATCTATCTATTACTGCACAAAATATTAACTGAGCATGGGTTTCGAAATTTAAAAAACAATGTTTGGCAAAAAAATAATAAATTTGAAAATATTACGCTTAGGTATTGGTTTTTTTTTTTTTGACATGCTTGGATATTGGTTAATCGTTGTATCTTTTCACTTGTTAATGTGGAGTCGGTAACTTTGTTGCGTCTTAATTTTACATTTCAATCTTATGTCTTAGCAATAAGAATATAAGTGGTTGAACCTTTTTTAAATCTAAAATTTTATATTTAGCCGTAAAATACAAGGGAAAAACATAATGGACACAACTAGTTGATACATTTCTCCAAATTTGAACTTGTATTTTTTTTTTTTTACAAGGTGAGGCTACTGTCACATCAACTAATAGCTTGTTGATAACTTCTCATCTATCTTAAAAATATGTAGTTTAGTACAGTTAACACTGTTAAAAATATTTTAGAAAGATTTTAAAAATACTGTTTTTAGCTGATATTTATATTAAATAAATTATATTTTTATAGCTACACAAATTTCATTTTCTTAAAATAAACATAAAAGACTTGATTAAAAATTTAACTAATTTTTAAATAAATATATATACTTGACTGTATATCTTTATAAATTTTGTAACACGTATATCTTTAAGCGTTTTAAATTATAAATTTAAACAATTTATAAAATCTTTTAAACTTATATCATTTAAAGTTTACGGTAAACCAAAAAAAATTTATGTATTTGAAATGTGTTTTTACAATTTAAAAGAAAACAAAATAAATAATTTCTAATAAACGTGATAAAAAAGTTAAAATTATAAGATTTTATAATTTAAATCAAAATTAATAAATTTTATAATATATTGAAAATTTTAAAAATATACGTATTAGAATTCATTTTTTTATAAAAAATATTTTTTAGAAGATATAAATGTCTAAATAATTATTGAGTAGAAGTGGCATGTTGGTTAAAAATTTTTTTTTTAAGTATCAGCTAACACCTTGGGTAGATAAAAATAGAATCTTAAATATAAGAAAAAGATTTGTATAACATAAGTTATAATTTTATGAAAAATTTATATATGTTTTTAAAATAGAGAAGATATTTCTATAATTGAAATAAAATAAAAAGATATTTGGTATATTTTACTCTAAATTTTACTATTATATATTTTTCAAAAAATAAATAAATTTCGTTATATATGGTCCATTCTTCTTAAAAGCATTTTTTTATGCTTACCAACCCTTCCGATCCCAACGCTCTTTAAAAAAATGAAAGGAAAATAAGTTTTTTCCAGCACACCAAGGCCCCAGATGTGCCATCACACGATATGTGCGTGTTAATGACTTGAGATTTAATAATATGCGAATGATACCTGAAAACGTTAAAATTTTATTTATTTTCATTTTTTTTAAAGATACTACCTCCACTCCTAATTATAAAAGTTAATTGACTAATTTGAGGAGATTAAAAAAAGAAGTTAAGTTAGTTATTTGTAATAAATAAGTGTTGTCTTTCCTAAAATATCATTACTAATCATATATGTTAACTAAAACTATCATTATTAGAAAAACTGTCTTGAAAAAAAATGCATAAATATGAGAAACAAAATGGATTATAATTTTATATTTATGATTAAAATAAAAGTCAAATAAGACCGGAAGTAGTAGTATTGAGGATTAGCCCGGTTCCTAACACGGGTCTTGAATCTAGATTCTCACAAGTATCGTTGGCAAAGTAAAATAAAATTCTCAAAAATATCAAAACATGATGGACCCTCACGCGTGATGGTCATTATCACAACCTTCCAAAATACTTCCAAACAGCAAAAGTAGTAAAATTATGGTTTATGAGTAGGTTATAAACAGTTTTTTAATAATAACAATTTACAGAATATAAAATAACTATGTGAGAGTAGTCTTTTTTAGTTTGCATGAACATTTTTATTGATCATAAATTCAAACAGGTGCTAAATCGATAGGTGGGGTGAAATGTGATTGAGTAGCTACAAATGGTAAAAATGCTACTTATATTTTTTAAAAATACACCACACATGTGTTTCAAAATCTCATTACCATTACAAAAATCTCATTAGCCTTCGTGATTCCTCTTACTTTTTATTCTGATAAAAAAAAAGATTAAATTGTTATGAAATCCCAAGCAGAAAATATAATCATTAAAAGTTTTAATAAGAATAGAGTAGTCTGTAATGACAAATTTTAGGCTTGTAAGATAATAAATGACAACAGTTCACTTCCTATTAGAACTTGTTGGTAGTTATTTTTTCCTGAAAATCTTGTTGTAATTCTCCCTAAAAGATATTATGCCATGATCATACTGCCTGGAAAGAATACCATGATCAGTGCTATTTTATGATGGACGAGTGGAGGACAAGGAGATTTGGTTAAAATAGTAGGAATAAAATAAATCATAATAAAATGCTAATCTTGTTTAATTTGAAATCTTATAATATTTATGTGTGGGACTTGGAGCTGATATATCACATAATATTATGTAAGAAATAAAAGGGTTTTCAGTATTCTCGCCAGTCACGACTCATGAATTGAAAACAAAAGTTAATTACGCGCCTGCTCATGAATATCACGCGGAATATCTGATTGGAACCTCAATACCAAACCCTTTTTTTTTTTTAAATCAGCGTCACGTGATGTAAGGTCTCCGATTTTATAATGACGTTAATTTTAAAATCAATTGATTGTTTTTTTTTGTTTTTGTTTACCCTACTCAGTCGGTAAAAACTCTAATTTATGGGGTAAATAAACCGTAATCCAAAATACAGAATAAAACATCAAGGACTCCACAGAAGAGGGCGATTGCCTCATTAGTTGAAATTTCCTACACTTGAAATAAAACCTCTTGAATGTTTAAATTCAACTATAAGGTTGCTTTTTGGGCCAACAACAGTAAGGTTATTAGACTTTGGTAGTTTGGCAGCTGCGTTACCGTGTTTTTTTTTTTTTAAATTTTTTGTTTCCACATCAATGCATTAGTCAAAGGTTTTTATAATCAATTAACTGAACTAATTCTTATCTGTCCTCTGTCCTAACATGTCTCGGCAATATTTAATGTGGCAGATAATTACAAGGAAGGAGAGATTTTGATGCAAAGTGTTAGATAGTTTTGAAAAGTTATAATAATGTTTACAAAATGTTTTCAATTTGTTTAATGATTTCTTATTTTAAATTGCACAGAAATAAAATTTCATAAAAAAGGCAAAGAGAAAAAGTAATAATTTTACTTGACAAAGTTATTTTCGGCATTTTTATTAATTTGTTGATACTGTTGCATTCAAAATATTTAAAAAAAATTCTAGAAATAAGAAAATAGAAACTAACATAACTAGTTTTTTACAATAAAAAAATCCAGTTCTAATATTTATTTTATGTTTATTACCTTCTAAACATTTTTCCCCGTAGAAAATTAAGCGAGGCTTAAAAGAGTATCCCGTGGGCCCCAAAAAAGTCGCTTACAGACTTGTTCCGGGATTTGTCCGATCGAACCTGGTGCCCCGGGGCATCTAGCAAAACGAAACAAATCAATCAATATGTCCAATTAAATCCGCACTATTTATATACCATTTATTTCAGTTAATGCGTGGGCTACGCCGCTACGGTCCAGATGATCAAGGAATATCAAAATTGACACTGTTCACGACGAAGAGAAAGAACCCGGTGGCGGGGGCGCTGCGGGCTGTGACTGGTGACTGGTGAGGTGAGGAGGGTCCTGGAAGGTGAAGAACAGAGACGTAGCAAGGAGAAAGATGGCATCTTCGGGAGGTAGAACTCCAGAATTGAGGAAAGACTCTGTGTCAAATCGTTGGGTCATTTTCTCACCGGCCAGAGCCAAGAGGCCCTCCGATTTCAAATCCAAATCCCCCACGAATCCCAACCCGTCCCAACAAAAATGTCCCTTCTGCATCGGCCAGGAGCACGAATGTGCGCCCGAGATCTTTCGGGTACCGCCCGATAACCCGGACTGGACGATCAGGGTCATCCAGAATCTTTACCCAGCTCTCAGCCGCAATCTCCGTGAGCCATCTGTCTCCCGCCCTGTTTCTTCCCGCGAGATTGGTAATTGTGTCTTGGACGGGTTTGGCTTCCACGACGTTGTGATTGAGACTCCGGTCCACTCTGTTCAGCTGAGTGATTTGTCTCCCGAGCAGATTGGACAGGTTTTGCTCACATATAAGAAGAGAACCGAACAACTTGCTGGCCATGAATCAATCAAATATGTGCAGGTTTATTTCCTAATTGGACCCCTCTATCTCTCCCCATTCTGGGAATGTTTTACCTTCCAGCGCTTCGAGGCCCAGGCGCACAGCTTGTGCCTGAAGCTCGCTTCTGCTTACTCCGGATGCTCTCTGCTAGCTTTGATATATAGTGTAAATATCTTACAGTTAACTGTCCATGAAGTAACTTTGGTTTTTTAAATTTTGACGCCATCACATCTTCATCTTGCATTGTTCTGGAAAATTTTCCCATTTATTGTCTTTTTATCAAATAACTTCATGAAATATGAAGTTAAAAATCTTGTATTCTTGGACAGTTTTTATATATATGCTTTGACATATGGCGCAGAAGGTTGGTTATGAATTATTATAACTTGAAATAAGATATTGCCTTACAAATTTAGTTACCTATCTGTATCTTACAGTACCGTGCCCTCGACACCACCTATTTCCTATGGTCTTAAAACTCAGAAATGGTGTGAGTCATGAGTTTATTTTGTCCTTAGAAGATTTTGATATTCTGGCCCTGTTGTAGCATGCACTAGCAAATCATGTTAGCTGTGCATATTTCTTTGGAATATGCGAGTAGCTGAACGACTAGAAGTTGCTAAATGAATATCAGCTACTGTAATTCTGGCTACATTTTTTATGTTATTATCTTGCCTTGCCTTTTCCTGCGACTGAGTTAGACGATGCAGTTGCATATAATCTGATCCTTTTTTTGGGTGAAAACATATTATTTTATGTAAATTGATAATTTTCTTTCTTTCTACCTATCACGTTTAAACTTTATATGAATTATATTTACTATTGAAGGTGTTTAAAAACCACGGTGCTTCAGCTGGTGCGTCAATGAGTCACTCTCACAGTCAGATATTGGCCCTTCCCATCATTCCTCCTACAGTTTCTTCTCGTCTTGCAAATATGAAGGATTATTTTGAACAGACGGGGAAATGTTGCATTTGTCAAATTGGATCTGAGGATCTTGTGATTCATGCTTCTACCAACTTCATTTCACTGGTTCCTTATGCAGCTACTTTCCCCTTTGAGATTTGGATTGTTCCCCGCTATCACTCTGCGCATTTCCATGAATTGGATGCTGAAAAGGTAACTCCTCATTGCTTCAAAATTCCTTTTTTCTTTTTGGTTTCCGTTCTCCTATCTATGGCATACTCTGATAAGACATCTGATGGAGGGATGGGCCAAAAGACTTTAGTTTAGTTGCCGTATTAACTGAGAAAATTATTTTAATTGCTATAGATCTTCAATGCTCACAGTTTCTAATGAAAATGGAGATCCATGTTTCTACTTTTGAAGCTACTGCGTCATTGACAAATGTTTCCCGTCACTACTGGAAGTTCCGGTAATACTAGGACAGTGACAGAGATAAATGTTTTTATTACATCCACGGTGATAGATAATCGTAAAATGGTCTGCATCCATGCGATCCTCCTCCCATGCCACAGATTAATCATTATTTCTTGACATTCACTTGGCAGGCAATTGATCTTGGAGGTTTGCTGAAACTCATGCTTATGAAGATGGCCATTCAATTGAATAATCCACCATTCAATTTTATGATCCACACTGGTCCTCTGCGTTGCCAGGGATCTGAGACAGCGTATGCCCATTGGTTTTTACAAATTATACCACAACTAACTGGGATTGGAGGCTTTGAACTTGGAACAGGGTGTTACATAAATCCTGTGTTTCCAGAGGATGCTGCAACTGTTCTGAGAGAAGTGGAAATCCCAGGATCCGGATAAATCAGGAAGAAACATTCTTGAGTAGCATCAGCATGATTTCAACCTTTTTTAAAGTGAGAAAGTAAAACCCCTGAACTTCTTATAGTTGTGAAGTTGTTTATTTTAACAGGTTGCACTTCAAGAAGCCTCTTGTGACGCTGTGAGGGAATCTTCAGGTTTTACACGTACTCTAATAGTAGCCATAAAGCCTTTACGTATTGACCGGCTCATTCTGTATGACTAAGAGGGGAGGGGACATTCAGTGCTGTTGAGAGGGAAGAGGAAAAAGGCACTTTCCAATAATTTGAGTCTTCATTGATTGATATACGAAACATCTGTTGTTTGACACGCAACATTTGCTCCTCTCATTCTTGCTGTTCTTTACTGAATATTTTGAGTCTCAAGGGATGATGTCGGTAAGGGGTTATTTCTCCCTCTTCATATCCATTTTTGGTATTTATCATGACAAATTAGTGGGGCCAATGACTCGATCTTTTATTGAGATTTTGGACTCAGATTTAAATTAGTCAACGTTAATTAGCACAGTTAGTCATGATCAAGCGGGGGAAAATTTTTAAAATTAATCTAATTGGTTTATTTATGGGAATTTTATATAATTCTTATTTTTAAAAGATATAAAATGATTCTAAAGAAACTTTATCTCTTAAAATAAATTTATACTACCGACATGTATAATTAGAAGTTTAAAACTAGCAATCACGATCAAATCACTGCTATATTACTGTGGTTACGTTGGCAAAGAAAAATATTGCATTCCATGCTTTTTTTCTCTATATATTATTCAAATATTGCTCTATGCTTATATCTCTTGGCAACAAAAATCCCCGACTTAAGAGGGATGGGTGGCTCCTAGTTTTCAAATTATTAAAATATATAAATTTATATATGATATAAAATTCTAACTATTTATGAATTATAAATAACATAGTTTATATATTAGATTTTATGTCATGTGACACGCCAATTTAATATCAAACAAGCATGAAAGTTAAGTATTTTTAATACATATACACATAATATAATATGGATGTGGATATTTTTTGGTGGTCTTCTAATAAATGGAATCACGGAGACTCATTCACTTATTATAATGTCCTTAATTAATTTTTCAATACAAACTTTTTTTACGAGGGCCAAAAAAAATGCAAACCTTTTTAGTTCGTATTCATATTATATTATATATCAGCCCGCGGAAATTTCAAAGTAGACGTGATTTTTAGAACTGTCGTCAATGACGTAGTCGTCCGCACCAAATATTTTTTTGGGCAAATCCTCTAAAATTAATTTCAAATTCCAGATCAAAATGAATCCAATGTAACGACTTTGTTGCAGTCTAGATACTTAGCTTAGCAGATGAATTTTGATGGAATTAATTTGAATATATATTTTAAGCTGATAATCTTAACCAATCTATATTTATCCACAAGATAAACATTAAAACGTGGTTAATTAATTCGTTTATCTTCTAAATTTTTTTAAAAAAATCGGATCGCCGGGAGCCGGGGGGAGTACGGTCTCAGGCTAATACATATAATCATGCGAGTATATTGGAAACCCCTCAAAATTTCTCACTGTGCTTGTGCTTCTAAAATTTCAGGTTAGCGGCGACCCCTTCTCCAAGCTTTCTCTAAACAAAAGCTTCCGTACCTTAATTTTACACACGTCGTTGACTCCGTTGCGGGTTCAGTCTAGGTCTCCCCTTCTCTCGCTCTCCACCTCATCTTCTCCATCAACTCCGTCATGGAAGCAGCTGCTCCATCCCCTGATAGTAGTATCCTTGTTGCTTCTTCTCATTTATGCTCTGTTATTTTCTGTTCGGTATTTTGTTTCTTTTCCTCTATTGTGTAATTTGATCATAGGGTGTTTATGTTATTTGCCTGTCTTTAGTTTGTGGTTAATGTCTTCCACGACACTCACAGATGCTCGTAGCAGAGCTCTGTAAACTGGTAATTAGGTGCTCGAAACCTTTCATATTCTTGGGAAAAGATACGGATTATATTCTTTGTGTGGCTTCTAACGGTGTAATATAAGTTGCCCAAGTTTTATAGCATATTGGAGTTGCTATAGCTTCCGTCTTGTCTGGCCATTGGTTTCAACTGTCTTTTATTTGTTTTAAGCTTTATTTGAAAAAGCAAATTGTTTCCTTCACCTGAATATCATAGGAGCTGCAGATTTAATACAGAACTTGTCCATGGATTCTGAGTCCAAGACTATCGACGTGCCCGAGTCTGGAAATAAGGTTTGGTTTTGCTACACATTCAGTTGTATATAATTTATATCATATATATGTGTATATATATTAAAAAGTTACCTGATTAACTATTACACAGAGTGGATCTGCCTTTTCCCCCGGTACAGCTAAGGGGACAAGCAAACCGTTTTATCCAAATGCGCGCTCCGTTTCTAATGGATACCCTGCTGCTTATTATTATGGAGGTAAGAATGTGAGGTAAGCTGTTATAAGAGCATTTATATTGATGAATTGGCAAAGCTGTTATGAGATCACTACGTTGATTGAACAATTTTTTCCTTCCAACTTGTGAGGTAACTGGCATATATTTCTTCAGGTTATGATCAGGGTTATTCCAGATATGTGAACCTTGACGGAGGGATGACTCCCGTAAGTAACTCTTGTCTGATTCTACTTGCTAGAATCAATGCCTCTTCTTCCTTTTTTTATACGGTATCTTAATTTTAATCATTCTGCAACAGTATAGTTTACACAATTGTGCAATTGATGCTTTTGGTATTTATTTATTTGTTTATGATTTAAGTTAGTTTATCATGTCCTTGTTTTCCCTTTTGTCCTATAACAGCCGTTTCTCTCTTCAATTTTAATAACAGGGTGTTTATGGAGATACCTGCTCTTATATGTATCATCACGGTTATGGCTTCACACCGTATGGAGTGTATCCGCCTGGTTCTTCTGCTCCAGCCATGCAACATGATTCTGCTCCAATTATGCAACATGATGGACAGCTCTATGGGCTACAACAGTACCAGTATCCGTGTCCCTATTACCAAGCTCAAGCTTTTGAGGATGGCTCTTATGTCCCAAACAAACATAGTGTCACGCAGAGGGAAATATCACCTTCAGTTAATGTTAATCACGCCCCTTCATCAGTTGTCATGAATAAAGGAAATACAGCCAGCGTTGTCAATGGTGATAGCCCAAATAACAATGCGTTTAAGGCACCTTTAACAAGTCCCTTCTGCTCATCTATGAACTCGAATGACTTTTATCCAGCGGCTAGCTCGCCGGCTCATGTTCCTTTGTCAGGATACCGGGGTACTAGAATTAGTACTGATGGAGCCCACTCAGCAATCCGTTCAAATGCTTTATTGTTCTCTGATAGGCAGTCCAAACATGGAGCAAGATTTGGATTATCTTCACCAATGAATCCTGGCAAAGATTTTTCTTCTCAGAGGAATCAGAATCTTGCTCTTTCTCTTCCCCGTTACACGGTATGTTTGACCCTTCTTCCCTGGTCCTCTAAGCGTCCATGCAGGGTAAGAAGTAAAATCAGCTATCTCCCGCCCCATAAAAATATTTCATTTGTATGATTTTGGGTTTAATTAATTTTTTAACGTTTTTAAGTTCATCACGCAACCACTTTGATACTATTTTTCATTTATTATATGTATACATGCTTCTTTCATTTATGCATATCCATCCAACAAGATGGTCATGATCTCTGTTCATATCACACGTCATCCAGTTGATAACTCTCTTTTTATGTTTTGTCCATATTGTCTATGATCATTTTTAAACAAAACTTTAATTCTGTCGCACTTGTCTGCACAATTTGCAGGGTGCTAGACCATCGGCTGGATTGGAACTGGTTTCTGGTTCCACGACCAGGATGTATCCGAGCAACGAAGTGTATGGCCAATACGGAAACACATGGTCTAGTTTTCCATATGGATCTGCTGCTTATGGATCTAGAGCAGGGAATGCTCCTGGCGGGCTTAAAGCCTTAAGCAATAATCGTGGTAGTGGCAATTGGAAGAAGAATATGGACGGTTTTAATGAGATGAGTAAAGGACCTAGAGCTACGAATTCTGATAATAAAAGTGACGGTGATAACAAAGAAATGCCTCTGGTTCCCGTGAAGGAAGAGTACAATGGGGAAGATTTATCTGAGAATTATTCTGATGCAAAATTTTTTGTCATCAAATCTTATAGTGAAGATGATATTCATAAAAGCATAAAATATAGTGTCTGGGCTAGCACCCCGAATGGCAATAGAAAGCTAAGTGCAGCATATGAAGAAGCCAAGGAGAAACCCGGTGGCTGTCCTGTATTTTTGCTGTTTTCAGTGAGTGTACCATATGCAGCATTCAGTTGGGTAATTTCTAAACTTGATTTACTAAACTACCTGGCTGACCTATTCTATGTCGCTACAGGTTAATTCTAGTGGGCAGTTTGTTGGTTTAGCTGAGATGGTGGGTCCTGTTGATTTTGGAAGTACTGTAGAATACTGGCAGCAAGACAGGTGGACTGGTTGCTTTCCTCTGAAGTGGCATATCATTAAGGATATACCAAATACTGTGTTAAGGAAGATAACACTAGAAAACAATGAAAACAGACCTGTAACAAACAGTAGGGACACGCAGGAGGTATTTGTGAATTCGCTTGTTTAATTATATCCTTTGGGTCACAACTCTTTCAGCTAACAATGTTTATCTCTACACGCATTAGGTTATGTTTGCGAAAGGCATTCAAATTCTCAACCTTTTCAAGGGGCATCCACGCAAAACATGCATCCTGGATGATTTTGACTTTTATGAGAACCGTGAAAATGCGATGCAGGAAAGAAAATCTAAGGAACATCAGTTCTCAGGACATGTAACGTGCACCTTTCGACGCTTTACTCTGATCAAATTTAACGCATTTGACATCTTGCTTAGACTTTTAACTGCTGTATCTTTTCTATATTGGCTTCTTTTAAATTGAAGATGTACTGAGAATTGTGCCATTTGATGATGGCCTTTGCGCATCTACAGGTCAGGGAGCTTGGTGATACTAGAACTAATGAGACAGTTAAGCTGCCCGAGTCTGTGGATGGAACTTTGGCGAATCAATCAGCTCCTGCGGACTTGGCGTCCGTAGGCTTGGAGTCAAACGCGTCACCATTAGAGGAGCGTGGATCGGCTGAAGCTCTTGAAGACTCTTCACAGCTGCCGAACTAGTGATGTTGCCGAAGCCACAAGGGATTCCAGATGAGGGTGCCAGTATATGCTAATTCTTTTTTTGCCTTTTATATTGTTTCTCCTTTTAGTAGTAGGGGAATGAATTCTTAATTCCTGATATAAGAAGTATTTCCTTGCTGGTTTTCTCTTGGCTCTGAGCAAGTTGGAGGTATATTTTAATTTAACGAAGCTCAATATATAGAAATTGTTTTCTCGTGGCTTGAGCAAGTTGGAGGTATATTTTAATTTAACGAAGCTCAATATATAGAAATTGCGGAATAACTCCATTTTTTCGAAATAAATTACACACAATGTGAAAAGGGGAAAAAAAAAATTTCCGGTTATGTTACTGAGCAGTGAAGGAACAATAAAGTAGTGATATTAATGGGTATCGTAATTCATGGCTGCATCCAACTAGTGGTTATGAACCAACTCTGAGGGATGCAAGCTTCAAATAGGACTGGCATCCTGTGCATTTGTACAATTTGTAGCTTCTACAGATGCCATCTCTGTTTCAAAACTATCAGTCGTTATAGAATCCATTGTGCCCTCACACGGCTTAACGAGAGTAGGATTAATGCATTGATGGTAAATGCGCAATTCACAATACTTACATTAAATTTTTTATATCCATTATATTAACTTATCTAATGATACATGATCATGTATCTTATATTTTAAATATTAATATTTACTAGTATGTAATAATAAATTATCATAGAAAAAATATATGATTATATGTGATTAAAAAACTTTACATAATGAATATAAAAACCTTGGATTTATAACATATACATTTTTTTTATTTGTGAAAAAAGAGAGAGAAGAAAATTCACTAAAAAGTTGTGCAATAAATTTTGTTTTTTCAGGTATGTAACTTAATAAGAAATAATATCGGCACAGAAATACGAAATTTGCAAATATTAGAAATAAATAAATAAAATGTAAAGTAAATATTTAAATTTAATTTATGCCATCAGTTATATGTGACCTGTGGTTCTATAATTTTTGTCTGGCCATTTATAATCAATGGTTCTTATTCTTGTGTATATACTTTAGATTTAGATTTATCAAAAACAACAGAAAATTACTGCCATCCGGAATCGTAATTTTTCATCGAGCATGAATGTTACCGGCACCACATCGCCGTTCCTTTGATGAATCGCTAATTTTAATTTTCTATTCTTTTTTTTTGGGTGTTTTTTTAAAAAGAATTATTATTACTATCTCCGACTTCATTTCATTTGCCGCTCCACTGCTGGAAACGTTCTAGGGCTTCTGGTGTTTTCTAGTTAAGCGAAAGCCATCGTTGTCATTCCCTGGGTTTAGGGGCTAGGGTTTTTCTTCTGCTCTTGCTACCGTCTCGAGAAGAAAAGTATTTAGAGTTGTTAGTCTCAACGCTTCAGAAAGATGGGTTTCAACATGCAGCCATATGGGATCCAGTCGATGCTCAAGGAGGGCCACAAGCATCTTTCTGGCCTCGACGAAGCAGTTCTTAAGAATATTGATGCCTGCAAGCAGCTTTCCACCATCACTCGAACTTCTCTTGGTCCTAATGGTAAAGCATTGTTATTTTTTATGTGCTCTGATATCTGATTCAGAAGCCATTTCTGCGCTCTACATTTTCATTTATTTTTTCAATATGAGATGTTGCCTATCCGTTGCGTAGCTTAGATGTGAAAGGCTGGGATTTTAGAAGTGTTGCCATGAGTTGGTATATGGGGTTTTTAGTCCATTCTGATCTCCCATTGGTTTAATTGAGATGGAACCTTTCACGGTTATTTTCAAAATCCCGAATCAGTTCAACAGAACGCACTGCCTGGAGTTTCCGTACTTGTGGCGATTGTTATCCACTCAGTGGCTGCTGTTGGCGCAGAATTAAATAATATTGGATTCTTATCATATATTTAGATATCGTTTCCAAAGTAATGCTTGCCTGTCCTCACCCTGTAGCTTATGTTTCCTTTTTGAGTTCTACTAGCAGCAAATTTTCTTAAAACTATGTTTGTTTTTGGTAAATTCTTTCCTACATCTTAGGTACCAAAGAAATCAATCTCTTGGACTACTAGTCCTTCTTTGGGTTACGATTTTTGCAGAGTTATAATCCTTCTTATGCCATGTCACTCTTTCAGGTATGAATAAGATGGTTATAAATCATTTGGACAAGCTATTTGTTACAAATGATGCTGCCACTATTGTAAATGAACTTGAAGTTCAGCATCCTGCTGCCAAGATTTTGGTTTTAGCGGGGAAGGCTCAACAAGAGGAAATTGGTGATGGAGCTAATTTAACAGTCTCCTTTGCTGGGGAGCTCCTTCAAAATGCTGAGGAACTTATCAGGATGGGATTGCACCCAAGTGAAATCATCAGTGGATATACTAAAGCAATCAATAAGGTTTGTCAGTCCTTTAGCAAGAGGCTAAGTAACTCCTCTGTACTGCTTCTCTGTATTTGTGTGTCTAACTTACTGTCATATGTTTTAGACTGTTGAACTCTTAGGCGAAATGGTTGAGAAAGGTTCAGAGAATATGGATGTCCGTAACAAGGAGCAAGTTGTTTCTCGAATGAGAGCTGCTGTTGCTAGCAAGCAATTCGGTCAAGAAGATACAATATGTTCACTTGTCGCAGATGTAATATTATACTGGACATCCTGTTTCCTATTATAAATTACTGTTTTGGTGCATTACTGAAAGTCCTGATGCATTTGAAAAATATAGGCATGCATCCAAGTCTGTCCAAAGAACCCGGCTAACTTTAATGTGGACAACGTTCGAGTTGCAAAGCTCTTGGGAGGGGGACTTCATAACAGTGCAGTTGTTCGAGGAATGGTGTTGAAAAATGATGCTGTTGGGACTATAAAGCGAGTAGAGAAAGCAAAGGTTAGCTTTCTAGACATTTTGTGGCTTCTGGGTTTTTGTTTGTGGTGCTTTCTATACACTTGCAGTGGAGTCTTGTCTTTCTTAATCATTGTCATGCTTCCTCTTGATTATTTCAGTTTTCAAGTTACATATTCTGGGATTTGCTTGCTGTTCATTCGTTATTGGTATTTTATTCAACTGTATGAATATAGTAACAAATAAAAGCTCGTTTGAGTTGTAGTCGTCTATTTGAGTTTACTGCAATTTATGATTGTGTCCTAATATAATAGATGGGTTATGTGAACTGGTGAGAAAATTTGTTAAGCATGGCTTAGGTCTTGGGGAAGCAATTTCTATCATATGAGAGAGATTATTCTGTACGGCTTTTGATTCTCTCGTAATTCATTAAAGGGTTACCTCTGTTAACAGCTTGTTCTTTTATATTTGTTTTGCAAGTACATACTACGTATGCAAAGATGCATGTGGTTGAAGAAAGAAATGCTGGATTTTTTAGATTGTTTTGACATATTTTTCTTTATCGAGCCAATGTTTTGTGCTATGTAGAAGTCTGGAATGTAGGGTGGAACCTGAGGGTATTATGAGGAAAATTGTTTTCCCCTTCCTTTTCTGTTGAAATTTGTAAATTTCGTGGTATTTGAGAACAAGTCCAGTTTCTTGTTTGATTTAAATTGATATTGAGCCAATTTATCGTTATTTCTCTTTTGCTCTCGATGACAAGAAGTTGATGTATCCATATTCCGTTTCCGTAGCAATAAATTTGACTGCAAAGGTTCAATAATATTTTCCTCTCGGATGTGGCTGAGTTAGAACTTGAATAATAAATGGATGAATTGGCACTTGGCCTACAATGTAGTTTTAGTTCCTCCCTAGGATAAATCCTAATGATTTTGATCAATTGCCTTTTATCATTTCTTCAAGGAAAGTTGAAATCATTAGAATAGGTAGGATGTTTATTTCAGTCCATTGCAGTTAATGCATAGTTTCCGCCCAATTTTATCATTTTATATGGTGCCTCCATATTAAGGGTCTTGGATATTCTTTCTTCGGTATAGTGGTTTATTACCTTGTTTGCTTGAATCTTGCAATGCACAAAAAGATCATTGCATCAGATTTTGAACTCATTATTTTCTGTACTTGCTGCAATTATGAAGCCGCAAATTCTATTTGATTCAGTAGTAATATTCTTTGTTAATGCCGTGTTAGGTAGCTGTATTTGTTAGTGGTGTTGACACATCGGCAACTGAAACCAAAGGGACTGTATTAATTCATTCTGCTGAGCAGGTATATTTCCAAAGTCTCAAATACTATGGTCTCAAATACTGAACTGAGGCAGCTTTGTTGCTGGAGCTCAACATTGTTGCCAAATAATAATAATAATAATAATCATCATCATCATCATCATCATTATTAATGCTTGTATTATTATTAATGCTTGAAACATATTGGCAAACACTTGGGACTATTTTTTCAGCTGTTCCCATTTTGGTAAAGAATGGATTATGTGCTAGTGGAATGTAAAGAGTTGTTGCTGTTCATGCTTAATCTAAAACCTACATATATGTTTGATTATATTATTATTTTATAACCTCTTTCTTTAACTCAGTGGGATGTTGACAGAGCACGATGGCGTCGTGTGATTCATGTAGCCGACCCCACCTAGTGGGATAAGGCTTGTTGTTTGTTTGTTTGTTTGTTTCTTTAACTCAGTGCTTTTGCTAATTGGACCCATTATCTTCTTTTGACATTCTATAGCTAGAAAATTATTCAAAAACAGAAGAGGCTAAAGTTGAAGAGCTTATCAAAGCAGTAGCTGATTCAGGTGCCAAAGTGATTGTTAGTGGAGGGGCAGTTGGAGAGATGGCATTGCATTTTTGTGAGCGTTACAAGTGCGCTTTTCCATACATCCTTTTTTACCCCTTAATATTAAAGTTGAAAACCTGGGTTAGTATTGAATATGGTGATGTTCTAACCATTAATTCTTGCTTGCAGGCTCATGGTTCTTAAGATTAGTTCAAAGTTTGAACTACGTCGATTTTGCCGCACTACTGGAGCTGTTGCTATAGTATGTATCTTTTTACCTCTGACATGTAGAGAAGCTTTCAAGTTTCTTTTTAACCCATTTGCTTTTCCTGTAACAGCTGAAGCTTAGCCAACCAAACCCAGATGATCTTGGATACGTTGATTCTATTTCTGTTGAGGAAATTGGTGGTGCCAGAGTATGTTTAGAAAATTCTTTACATGTTAATTTTTGTTTTGTTTTCCCCCTTTGCTTTTATATCGCATCTTATTTTGTTTCTTTGTTTACTTTTCCTTCATTACACTCAGCATGACTTTTCCCCTCACATATGAGCATGTGTAGGTGACCATTGTGAAGAATGAAGAAGGTGGAAACTCTGTATCTACTGTTGTTTTAAGAGGAAGCACTGATAGCATACTGGATGATCTTGAAAGAGCAGTTGATGATGGTGTTAACACTTACAAGGTTATTTCTGGCATATGCTACCATAATAGACTGTTTGTAAATCTTCTCTCATTCTGGTCTTGTTAAAATAGTGGTTCCACAGTCCTAGGGTTGTTATTAAATATGTTTGGTTGAGTGTAATTTTGCTTGCTGCATGTGCCTCATGCACCGTTGTTTATCAGGCCATGTGTCGGGACAGCCGTACTGTACCTGGAGCGGCAGCAACAGAAATTGAATTAGCTAAAAAAGTGAAAGAATTTTCCTTCAAAGAGACAGGGTATGTTGTATATATCTATTTTTGGAAAAAAGAACACTATTGTATGTATATTTGTATGCATCTACATGGCTTTTCATAGCATGGGAGTAATGTTTGTTCTTTGGTTCTGTGGATAATTGGTTCTTGTTCTTCACCTGTAATGATGTAACTTGTTTCTTACATCACGCTTTACTTTGTTTAATGAGAATCAGTTACTTGATGCATGAATAGGACATGCTAAATTTTCAATGGCTCTGCAGATTGGATCAGTATGCTATAGCCAAATTTGCTGAGAGTCTTGAAATGATTCCTACAACTCTGGCTGAGAATGCTGGGCTAAATGCTATGGAGATTATATCTTCTCTGTATGCAGAACATGCCTCAGGAAATACCAAAGTTGGCATTGACATAGAAGAAGGTGTTTGTAAGGATGCTTCAACGATGAATGTCTGGGATCTCTATGTTACGAAGTAAGCTTCTATGTTTTCATATCTCCCTCCCTCCCTCTCTATCTCACCAGCGTGCTCACACACGCACTCAAAACCTATAGTTAGGACAGCTACCTAGGTAAGCTTGTCATATAAAAATTTGAAAGTGATTGATAAAAAAGCGTGGATGGTTAGAAACACCAGGATGCACAATGGATTAGTAATGGAGATTATGTAAATTCTCCAAAAGAGCATTTGTGCATAATATAAAAAGAATAAAAATTAGGCCTTTAAGTTGGTAGAAAAAATCAGGCAGTACTCCCCACAATTCCGATCCAGAGTATGCTCCTCTCTGATTTATCAAGTCCCTTTTTGTTTTGCACAAAAAAGGAAAAAAAAAAAAGAATAGAATGCTATTAGGAAGAAAAATAGTGGGATCCCTTTGGAAAAGGTATACTTTGATTAGTGACTTGAATATGAAATGATGTTGGGATGAACCGTTTTTATTGCTGCTTGATGTCATTTATCATTAGTTGACAGGTTTCATCGGTTTTGGTTTAGGTTTTTTGCCCTCAAGTATGCTGCAGATGCTGCGTGCACTGTACTACGAGTGGACCAGGTAATACTCTAAAAAAAAAAGTAGTCAGTGGTTTCATGATCAATATTTTGGAATAATTTGATGATATTCTGTTCGAATATTTCGATGGCAACTAACGGGTCTGAAGAACGGGTGAAATCTGGGCAATTACGGGCACAGTGTCCATGTAGTTACATTATGATTCAGAGGGTATGGTTTGAAACTTTTAGTGCATGAGGGAGGTAGGGGTTGGCATGATTTTATAAAACATTGATTTGTAGGTAGCATATAGCAGTATGGCTAGAAACAGAAATGTGTAATTCGTATTTATTTGAAGTAGATAACATTGATTATTGCATCGTGTGCAGCCGTTAATTTTTGGGAATGCTTTTCCGAACGTCTGGAAACTTTTTTCTTTTGGGTGAAGAAACAGGGCTTTAGTATGTGAAATATGCATGTTGTGGTAACATTTGAAACAAACAGCCTAGCCACAAGCTTTATTTACTCATCAACATTAGAAGAAAATACCTGGTGTGGAAACTATTTTGAAGTTTCTTGTGTTTTTTTATGGGATAAAAAAGTTTGGGAAACAAACAGGTGTACCATTGGTAATCTTGGATAATTGTTATTAATGTTAGCTTCTATTAAATTCTTGTCAGCTTTTATGTTCGTGGATCTTATGTTATAATATGATGTTTTTAGATTATAATGGCAAAACCAGCTGGTGGCCCGAGGAGAGATCAGCCTGCTGGCATGGATGAAGACTAATCTTTTCCTTTTAGAACTGGCTGATGTTTTTGTCTGTGTTGATGATTGGATCTCAAAGTGGGTACTGGACTTGGTATGGGCATCTTGCTTTCTTTTCGATGCCAGTGGTGGGGTTGATGCAAATTTTGGATTTTGATTTCAGTGGATTGATGTTGAATGTGCCCTGTAAATTTTATTCATAGTCCTCTACCTAGGGTAATGGTGTTTGCTGGGAATCTGGGTACTGTAGCAATCTTAAAAAGTTGATAATTTATAGGTCTCTTGGTTGCGCTGTTTTTCGTTTAATTCGTTAACTCAGCTTTTCTTACCACCAGTCTCCGATTGTATCTTTTTAAAACTATCCAATCACTTCACCAGATAACTTCTTTGTTCGAGCCACATTGTACCAAGTTTTTCAGAATAATCACCTTTGTATTTAAAAGGGTGCCATTTTAATTATAATTTACGTAAAAAGACATTTTTAAAAAGCGCACAACGTAATGCATTGTTTTTAGGAATTTGAATTATATGGATATACATCTGTCGACGTAATGATTGAAGTGTTATCCAATACTGAGCACAGCAGATGCAATGGTGCTTTACAATTAAAACTGTCAAACCGCTTCTGTAGTCAAAAGTTCTGACAGGAGAATTCTGGAACTCCGATGAGGGCAACCGAATTTTTTCAATTATTAGTAATAACCATGACATCTAATCTTGCCTAGAAGTTCAACATTGGCTCTTAATTGACTAGACTGGGCGAGGGGGGCGATTAACTACTTAACTTCTTGAGACTCTTTACAAGAACAAAAGCAGATTGAGCATCAATCATAGGGGGACACTGAACATGTCAACATTTACTTGGAACTAGTGTTTATATAGAATAAGGCCTTCTATGGTGCTCTAAAAAGATGTTTGGATAATTTATAACAGACATCATGATCTTCAACATGCACATCAGAAAGTGCAAGTTATGTCGGGACAAGATAATGTCCTTCGTCCTGACCGTTGATCCATACAAGAGGAGTAGCCACTGCAAGTAGAGCGAAAGAGAGACCACAAACCAATTTGAACGTAGCCCTCCGCAGGGTTTTTTCCATGCCAGTTCTCTGAGCATTACTTTCACTCCTGGCAACTACCTCAGGATGCATCTGCATGTCGACATCACCAGAAAGCTCATCTGATACTGGGACTGACTCCTGACCACCCTGTATCTGTACATCATCATTATAACCACCATCGCATGATAAGCTTTCATTCTCTTTGGAATCATTATTTTCATGTGAGAAACCATTCTGATCACATTCAGATGTTGGACTCCACTCAGCATTGCCTGAGGATAAACTCCTGTACCGTCTGTTCTGTTTCTCAGAGCTACCGGAGTTCACATCGAATGGGTCTTGAAGAGACTGAATGAGCTTTCTAGGAGTCTTGAAGATTTTTATGTTGTCTACATTCACCTGTGTTCGAGACCTCTGAGAAGCAAATAGTCTATATGTCAGTTCTGGGGATGAAAGAACTTATGATTTCAATAAATAAACATGGCAGTTTAAAAAAAGATTCTTGAGGCTTTAATGATACACAAAATAAGATCCCATAAGGAGACTCGATACCACAGACAACGACTTTATGCAGTGTTAGGTTCAAGTACTTTCATTAACATGAAAAGATATTTCAAATGTAATTTATGACAGACACGTGAGAAACTTACCAGCGGACTTGTGGTGGTGCTTCTGGATACTCCAAACCTAGGATTCTGATGCGTGAATCCAGCAAACTCCTCTGTTGAATCTGTCCTATCCAAAACCTCATGATTCGCAGAGTTCTCTAACCACTTTTTTGACATATCATTTCTCTTCACAACCTCTGAAAACAGGCCATCCTTGAGAGACACGTCAACTCCTCCATTTTCCTGGCTCCAAAGTTTCCTATTCACACTTCGACGCTCATAGTTCGAAGTCTGAGAAGTTTGGCTCATCGCAATGGGAGACTCGCTCACTGATTCATATCCTGGAAAGAAGTCCAGAGTCCGTGATTCTGGTGAAATAGATCTAGGAGAATGCTCTCCTTCACAAGAAAAGTTTTCCCCTTCATTGTGGTCACCCATGCTAAAATTTGAGCCAGTCACTGAGCCAGGACTTTTAATATATCTTGATTTTTTGTCAGCTGCAATTCTCTTAGCCGTTTGCAAAGCTTCAAATGCAGCACCTTTCACATATGCCATTTTATCAGCCTGGCACTTCTCCATCTCCAGAATGATCAAATCGAGTTCTGAGAATATGCTCCGGGGGTCTAGACATTTCATCAAGAAGTTTACCATTTGAATGGCTGACAATCTCTTCTGGGAGTTCCCTTCCACAAGCCCAGCATTCAATATTCTCAATCCAGATTGTATAAGCAATCTTGCATATGCTTCAACAATCAAAGCATTGCGCTTAGCTAAGGCCATTACCAAACCCAAATGCGAGTTATTTTGGGTGGACCTGCCCTCTAAAGCTACAGCAACATTCAGGCAGACCCTATTGACCACGTCATCTGAAGCAAATTTCCAGTTGTCTGAATCCACAAGAGCCTTTAAGCAAAGGGATGCTCCTGAAGCTAGGCTCTCTTGAGAAGAAGTGAGGGAATCAGAAAGTGGCTTACAGAGGGAATGAATTATATGCCTCTTTCTGTCTTCTGGGGTTGTGGGATCAATTCCATATCTTGCAATAGCTGGAACCACCTTTGAGCAAGCCTGCTGAAGTGGGAAAGACCCCGCACTTGAAGCTAAGGTTTGCACAATGGATTTCATTATGCTGTCTATCATAGGCACAATCTTGACGCCATGAACTCGAGCAAGAACTTCATAGAGTGAAATCGTGAATTCTCCTGATAGCGAGCCGGTATCCTTAGTTTCGCAAACTTGGGCGAGGAAGATAGGAATGGTCTTAAAATCCAAATCTTTCACGTATGACTTCAGTGCTTTCATTGCACACTTGCGGCTGTCCGCATCTTTGTCAAGGTTTGCAAGCTCTCGCCGGATCACTGGACTGAGACTTCTTCCCATTGCTTAACTATAATCCAAAATCAAACGATTTTCTTTAGTAACTATAACAAGGGCAAGTCGTAAGCACCACTCATTAACAGTTCAAGTACATTACAGAGATCTCATTTTGGGTATTCTACTTCAGATTTTAGTATTCATGCACACCATTTAATGCTTCAACATTTCAGTTATTATACTGTTTGTAAACAAAAATTGAATCGTGCAAAACAACCGTGGGCCAATTCACACTCGAAATTTTTCTTAACTTTCATGGGGCCTCAAACCAATGCAAAGCCATTAACTTGCAACTCAGTTGTTCTCTTCCTTGCCTTGGATTGCGGCAACTAGAGGAGAAACAGAATATATTATATATATTTCCTTTTCCCACTTCAAACCATCATAAGGAAAAGAAATCTCCGACCAAGAATGGAAGACCTCACAGATCTTGTGAAGAGGAAAAATCTTAACAATAAGTGAAGGACGAAGAAAAGGAAAAGCGACAACAAATCTGGTTTTCATTTCGAAGAAATGACAGTGTTTATGAATCTACGTCTTGTTTTCTCGAAGAAAGATAAAAATTCAACCTTCAACAATTCTTGGAGAAGAAAGGTGATAATGAGGAAGAAGGGAATTTGGACCCCAAGTGAGTGTATTCACAGACAACGCGAAAGCAAGATTGCTCTTTTTACATGCGCATTCATTTCCTCCATTATATCATTCGAGAAGAAAATAAAAGTTGTAAATGGGCATTCAAATCAACTAAAAGCTGCAAGAACAAAGCATGAGAAATCAAACAGTATAGAACAAAAAGAGAGACTTCAAATTTAAGCAAGCAAGTGCACCTTTATGAAGCTGAAGCTTCTGCTTCCTTGCGCACTACCGGGTGAGTGCTAGCAAGATAGAGGACTTGCCTTCAGAAGCGTGGAGCTGGGAAGAAGGCGAGGAAGCTGTCAAAATGTGAAATGGGCTTGGAGGTTCGATTTCAAATTTAGCGTATTTTGTGGGGCTCTGTCCCATTCCGCTGCAAATTCAATACCTCGATTTTCAAAATCTTTCTTCAAAATTCCACCGCTATCCTTCCCATATAAAAAATTCCTTCCAGGACCACAGGACCCTCCCACATTTTGCTCTTTTCCTTTTGTACTTTGCATGAAACTCCCGCATTGTTATTTGTCACGTAGCAGAAATAATAATAAGAACAATAATAAATTAATAATAATAGATCATGTTTATACACTATTTTTTTGGCGAACAGTCGTGTCTATGTGTATGGATATTTCTGGTGCAATCACAAAAATTAAAATCGTTGCTGCTAAAAATTAATTAATATGATTATGTTCCCATAAACAGAAGAAAGTAGCAATTAAGTACAATATGTTTCCCTTTTCTTAGAGGTTTTGCATTTATTTATCCTCATATTTAGTGTCATTAATCAACGTGCACGATTGAAATAAATATTTAATTAATTTCTAATCAAAACGAATCAGGATAGTAGATACATTGATTTTGGTTAAAGAAAAGAAAAAAAAGAGTAAAAACATTGGTCTTTCGAAATTAAGTAGCGATTAAGTACAATGTGTTTCACAAATTCATTAATTTTGATTTTATTAACCCTCGATAAAATTTCCACATTAGTTATAGTGGTTCGTTGAATGAGAATTTAAACAGAGCCCAAATTCAATTTACCTCCTTTTATACAATCTCATTGATTTCTAAGTTTCAGTTTCATTGTCTTTTTCTCCTTAATTTCTTTTGAAACCAAAAGTTTATTTGGATCAAAATCAAATCATGATTTTAAAAATAATTTTAGGATATATGAAATAAATATATAAGAGAAGTTTTATCTTAATTTGTTTAGCGGGTATTTGGATAGAAACCAAACCATGGTTTCAGAAATGCTTTTATGGTTTACGAAGTAAATATGTAAAGGAATTTGTCTCATTTTGTAGAAAAATGCTTCTGAAACCATGATTTGGAGGTTACCAAATACCCCTTAAAAGCACTTTGTACATTCATCCAAACACTCCAAAACAGAAAATGAATGCCAATAAATACAATTGACAAGGGTCAATTCGGTCAAACCAGATTGCTCATCTCGCTGTCACGGCCTTCTTGTTTTGTCTTTGACTGAGATTCCAATTCCAAATGGATATGGCAGTAATAATAAATATACTGAATACTATGTTTGGGGTAAAGTGCTTTTCCCGCCCTTAAGAAATTGGATTTGGGGGAAATTTGAAATGCGCGCTCAAAACGCCACACGAATTTAAAGGGAAGCCAACCAAAAGTCTAAACTCAGCTTCCTTCTCCAGCTACCGCTCCAACTGGCCTGTGCATGCAATGCAACAGACAGAGGCGTAGGTGATTGATAATTTGATACTACCTCCGGTTCTTAATATAAGACCCCATTTGACTTTTTATTTGGTCCTAATTATAAGACCCCAATCCATTTTATCTATCATATTTATGCATTTTTTCCAAGATAGTCCTTCTAATAATGATAGTTCTAGCCAATACACTTAATCAGCAAGGATATTTTAGGAGTGATAACAACTTATTTATTACAAATAACTAAATTAACTTACTTCCTTAATCTCCTCAAATAAGTCAACAGGGTCTTATAATTAGGACCGGAGGTAGTATTACTGATTTTCTTTTCAAAGATAATAGCGGCAAATTGTGACCCTTCGCACCATGTTGCGTCATTATGCCAATAACTTAATGTAAGAGATCTTATCGCAAATAAAATATGGACAAGAATTGGTTCTAACTTGGTTATCTCTTAAGCCTAATAGTTGTTAAAAATGGATTCCCAAAAGGTACTTCATGTTTAAGAGCAATCATTTGTATCATTTCCTTACATTTGTTTGACAGTGAACGTGGGTGTCATGAAATGTGAAAATAGTACTAGAAAAATATTTTTTGTAATACAGAGTTTACAAGTTTGAGGGCATTTCATACAAGGTAAGTAAGGACTATTTTTGCATTTTGCTGATTCATAATGTTTGGTTGGCACAATAAAATAATCTCATGTCGTTCTAATTACATTAGATTAAGACAAATTATGTAATATCTATTACATAACTTCAGATGTATAATCCAGATTCATGCCTCCATGAATCAATATCTGGACATCTAATAGAACAAAAAATTACAAGCGGTGGAAGGGATGACGGGGCTTGGGACAAATCTTTGCCCCATAAATATACTGAAAATTTATGCTTCTTTTACATACTGAACTCAAGAAACTACTGGCACAACAAAGGATATCCATAGATGCAGTTTTACTTGGTACAAAGATTTATCATTGACATTGTGGAAGCAATTTGCAGGTTGGGCAATACCACTTCCCCTTGAATCTTGTCTCTGGTGTAAGGCCAACACAAGCATAGTGGAACCATTCGCCTCCTTGGCACTATCAGGAAGCATACACATGAGCTTTCAGAACCAATCCCACCTTCCCCAAGATAAATGGAAGTCTGAGCAAAAGTAAAGAGTACTCACATTTTCATTGTCACAAGCAATCATATCGCCAAAAGACACCTGAACGATCAAAATAGCAAAAGCATTTTAGCTTCTTACCAAACATGTTAAGGGGGAAAAAAGTGAAGAAATTACCTCATCATGGGCACAAGGAGAACTAAAATAAGATGTGTTACGAAAAAAAATCCAAACCTGATGACAAACACAGTACGTGGGTTCATTAGGATCAATTGGTTGATCAAAATCCACTGCAGCTGTATAGTCCTTTTTATGGCTTCCTGGGGGAGGCATGAGCTCAAAGTCCCTATCACGCTCTCTATCCCAGTCTCTATCCCTGTAATCAAGTCTCTTTGATTGAGGTGTTCCATATATGGGCCTGCGGCTTTCACTTTTGAGAACTAGAGGCAAGGCGGGAAGAATTGCTGGTTCATCTGGCGGTATTTTCCCCTCTAGCAAAATTGGAAATGCAAAAGAAACAGAAATGGGAAAGATCATTCCTCGATAATGTGCCAAAGAATATATTCCTATTTATTAAAGAAAAAATAGAACATCTCAAGTTCCAAAGTAGTATCATTTATTTGTTTCCAAGCTTTGCTGCCACCACATAGCATGTTACTTTATACAGGTCCAGAAGCACCAAATCATGTACTTTCCAACATCACTCTTCTAATTCAGGTTCCAAAATACTTGTAAATGTCAGGAGGAATGGTTCAACAAAAGATGCATATATACTTAGCTACTTACAGAAGAAATAGGATAATAGTTGTTTCGTCACTCATTGCATAAACTGGGTTGCTAGTCACAGAGGCACCAATAATGGAGAGAAGACGACAATCACTTCCCTTAGAAATCCTTCAATTGCACTCTTATGCATGTCTTTTCCAGGTAAATAAACCATCCAAAATCAATACGAAATTAATTCTCTCTCAGATTCTCCTAACCTTTTACTCTCTAGAGGTTTTAGGATGTACATGCGTGACACAGAGTTAATCAGCATGCAAACTACATGGTTATTTTACCTTGCTTTAGATCTTCGGCGAAGTTGTTCAAATCTTCATCAAGTCGCTTTATATGACTATCTATCTGGAGCAAATACATGAGAACTGAAACTTGTAAACTCTAGAATGGTGTTCTTAAAACGCATATGAGGAAGAAAAATAAAAAAAATTCACACAGCTTACTCTTGACAAGTATTATTAAGCAGTATATAATCATTGATCACATACAGATATGGCAGAATGGAATCAAACTGGGTCTTATCATACAGAGAAAACTATGAGAGTTGAATATCTGAGCGACGTGCTCCTCATGATCAATCAAGGCAACTCTGTCACAGCATGCATATGTATGACTAAAACTTCAAACCACATTCGTCAGTGTCATGAGTCATGGTGTCCAGCGAGACAACACACAAACAGCAGAAAGGAGAACAGCAGGTAGAGTAGCATACCAAACCAAATAAAGGCTACATACGCATTATCTAAAAACAAGAGAAATTCAATTGTACTAGCTCAAGCATTTAAGAAAAGAAAATAAAGAGACAGGTCCACTTCGAAAAGCTTCTTAATGACAACTAGCCCAGAATTTGACATTCGCTAAGACCCAAAGCTCTGTTGTATTTTACTTTAACAACCACAGAATCATAAAGCGTCTAGTAGATAAGCTATAAGATAATTATTTGTAAAATCGCAAAAGAAAGGAGAGAGACAGCATATATGTTCCTTTAAATTATAAATTGTTGTTTGATGACTGAGGCTCCTGTGTGGGAAAGGAGAAGAGGATATTTAATATTTATCAAATTTCTACCAAAAGCAAAATGATTATCATCAAGTACCGAGTGAGGCTACAAGAAACACTTTGAAATATCAGAAAAGGGAGCAGATGTAACAGATTTACGACTGTCTTGTTTTAAATGGAAAAAGAAAAACTGTTTTGTTAAAAACATATGTGAGGTTGCTTCGGTAGTTAACAGTGAACCGTTTGTAAGTAACTGTAGAAGCCTTTAAAACCTGGACTACAGGATAGTCCCGTCCTGCCATGGATGCCTCAAACCAAAAGTGAAAACTTCCAAGTTGCATACACCGGTAAATAACAAGTGAATGTGGGGGAACAAAGCAAAGAATACTGAGTTCATTCATGGAAGCAGCCATACATAGTATGAAGTATATTTTGTTTTTGGCCGAATAGAATGAAGAGTAAACCACATTATATGTGCTATTTTAGAAAAACCCAGCCACCTTATCAATAATTCATTACCCAAGCCTGTAGATATCATTTTATATGAACAATTCTTCTTATAATAGATTAGAGGCTCTTCCCAGTAACATTTATAACAGCAAACATCAATATTCTAGTTGTGATTTCCTCCAGTTATAGAAAGTATGGGTGAAATATGTCGTGTATGATTAAGGAAGTCCAGCATAAATCATCAAGATACACAAACTCACCAGGTCATATGCTTGCCTTGCCAATAAAACCTTCTCAGTACATAGACTAAATGCACTATCCTGATTTGCCTCAATTTCTTTTCGCATTTTCTCAATTGCAATGTCATCTTCTTCATTCATATTATTATTATTATAATGATGGCCACCATAATGATTACCCTTCTTATAACCATGAGTTGACAACCCCAAGCAGTGCTTTGTCTGCTGCCTCGTCCGGTTTATCATAGCTGCAACACCCCCACCACACACACACACACACCCATGACAATTAAATAAATAAACAACCGTTAAGACATACAAACGACCTAAAGAAGTGAAAAATTCAAAATTTTAACACAAACAGTGACACAAACTAAGAAACAGAAAAAGAAACAAAAGTGAATATTTACATTGGGATCGGTCATCGAGTTCTCTGATGGTATTGAGCAACCTTTGAAGCTCCGCAGGCAGGGTACTCGCGTCTATGGAATTGAAAATTCAAAATCAAAAGAAGCGGCAAAATCGAATATAAATTCATGGAAAAATAGGAAATGGTGAAAAAAAATTGTGGAACTAGAAAGACGCTTACACTCCAAATAGTCATCAACATAGACTCCCGTTCGTGCAATAGCCATATGGAATGATAATTGTCGCGATTGTTAATGGGAGGGTTTGGTTCTAGGGTTCGGGTTGCGAGCCCTGGAGTTGCATTGTTGGTGCTGGGAATGGGGACGACAGGGCAACACGACGTCGTATGACAGTGACTTTTTTAAGGCAAAATTTAACGAAACAAGCGGGTAGGGGAACAGAACCGCTAATCATAAGGCGGGTAAATGGCATTTCTAAGGACGAGAAATGTTACGACTCTGTTTTTTTTTCCAAAAAAGACAATTTTACTCTAAAAAAATAATTGGATCCTTCTGAAAAATACTTTTTTGAAAATACTTTTACATAAGTTGAAACAAATTTCCTTTCACATATGTATTTTATATGTTGTAAAATTATTTTTAAAATTATAATTTGAATTTAACCCAAACACACCCTAAGCACGACCTGAACTTAACAATGTTAAAACAAAACACCAATCAAGAAAGTCCAAACTACGGTAAGCATATAAATCAAACTAAGAAAGTTGCAGAGATTGAGCACGGTTATTTCTCTCTGACTGTTTATAATTCCACGTATTCTAGTTTTTAATGCTTGGAAATACTACTTTGGATAGAAACTCAAAAATTACATAGGACGCAACCTTGGAGTTCACGGCAATCACACCCACAGTAAGACGAGCACTAATTTGTCAGTTCTTCGAACTCTCGAATCTCATTGATCCTCTTTCACATTCATCGTTGAAGAACATTTAGGGTGTGTTTGGATTGGTATTGGGCAAAACTGACTTCTAGGCAAACTGGCTTTTATAACTGAAGTTAGAGTAAAAGTCAGTTAGTGTATGTTTGGATAGGTGCTTTGAAAAAGTCAGTTAGAAAAGTTAAAAGTTGTTTGGATGATTAATAGAAAAGTTAGTTTAGTTGTAAAATGACTAAAAAGGACATGGATTTTATTGAATAGTAGTGTTTAAAATTTTATGTTTTTAATGTGATAATAGCTTAAAAAAATACATTAAATTATTATGATAAACTATAAATAGTTCATTTGTGAAATTATAAAATAAGAATATTTATCATCGAGAAAAATTTGAAAACACATTGTAGATAATTATTACAATAAATAAAGGAGGACCTCATATTTATCTCTCTTTTTTTTTTAAAGAAAGAGAATAAAACTGTGTGTTTTCATTTAGGGTAAGGGGATATCATATCATTTCTCACGAAGCTAGAGGGAGCAAAACGGTGGAAGAATAAGAATTATTCTTCAACACCCCTTCCCATATATATGACCTCACACACGTAGCCTTCCAAGGGAAAAAAAAACAAGAAAAACTCGCACACATCCAAGACCCCACCTCACCGTCCTTAATCATCCATCGCTCACTATCTACCAACGCATACCACACCCCCGCAACCATCACCACCTTTTCCCTCCTTCATCATCTTCGACAGCGAGTGGCATAGCACAGGACCCGAGACCATCATTCCCTTCCACCTTCACCATCGCCATTCATCACCATTCTCGACCTTCTTCATCGTCTTCACACACAAAGAGGACTGAGAGAGAGAGAGAGAGAGAGAGAGACGACGGGAGCAGAGCTTGAGTGAGATTGACCGCAAATCATTCACTCTCATCCCTACCGAGCACATTCATCACTGACGCAGAAACAAGGGAGGCAGTAAGTATTGACCTTCAGACCTGTGAATGAATTCGGTAGAGGGAAAATGCAGGGAGGGTTAAAATTGGTAGGTCATATTTTTATGAGCAATTAATGCTCCAATGACGGTAGATCTCCTTTTCAAACGTGCCAAAAGCACCACAGCCCAGCGTTGGAAACGGCCGACAGTTTGCCAAGAAGTTGGTTGGAGAAGATAGGCTACCCAAACAATGGTTTTTATCCATTGCAGTTTGTAACCGTGGTTTCATTCATTCCAATGCACTTTTAGCGTTACAAACTGAGATCCAAACATACCCTTAAGTGGTCGTATGGTTGTTTGTTGCTTCGGATTGTTTAGAAGACTGAGTCAGTAGCTCATGCGTGGGCGCTTGGAACGTGAGGGTTGGAGAGTGGGGAGGGAAATAGCAGGGGTCAAAATCTTAAATATTAATTGCTGGCCAAAATCAATTCTACTCAAAATTAATTTTACAAATGCTACTCCAAAAACACTTCAATCTTAATTGTGCAAGCAATGTCAGAGAACATACAAGACGGCTCTATCCGCGTTTGACCCTCCGTTTGATCGATGTTTCAACGACGAGGAGCCCTGTTACCGTGTTGAATAAGGGACAGCGACCACAAACTAATCTCATTTGGAAGACATTAACAAGTATTAGAGTCAATTCATGTGACTCTTCTCCAGCTGGCAACGAAAGTAATTCTCCGTGAAGCTTTTCTTTCTCTAATATCGACTCCAAACAATTGACAAAGCAAACATCCAAGGAATAAAAAACCGGACCGAACACTAAACCGGTCAAGATACTGGTTCAAGGGTTAATGGGTTAGATCGGGATCAGACCGGGGTCAGATGGGTAATAATTAAAATAATATAATTTAATTAAAATTAGTAAAATATTTATATTCTAATTATAAAAATAATATTTATGTATATAAAAACTTTTTTTTAAATTTTTTTCCTTTTTCCTTTTTTCTTTTCCTTTTCTCTATCTTCTCTCTCCCACGTGCCATGCCACTTTTCTCCTTCTGCCACACATCACGAAGCAATGTCTATCTCATATGACATTGAACAAGCAGAGTAGACTAGGGTAGACTTGGGTGGTAGCACTGTAGCAGCATATTTTGCCTCCTTCAGCACGCATCACCAGCTCTTCCACATCTTTCTCAAATTACTTCCTGCCGTCCTCAGCGATCAGTTCTATTTCTTCCTCAAATGGAATGGACAAATGGAGAAATAGCAAAGGGTTAGTACTATTTTTCTTCTCTACATTTTGTTCATCCATCTGATACTCTCTCTTATCTCTCTCCTTCTCGTCTTCTACGGGTATACCTCAAAGCGACACAAACAAGGATTTCTTTTCCTCAGCCTCCATTATCTCCTCTGCTTCTACTACCTGTGTCTGCAGTGTCCATGGTTTTCGGCAAATAATAAGACGTCTATTCCTTCTCCGGCGAACGGTGAGAGCAGTTTTGGGAAGAAAAAAAAAACCGGCCAACCCAGTCCACCCAGCGGTTTTTTCGGTTTTTACTGGTTTAGTCCGGTCTATTCCGGTTCATCCCGGGTTGATTGGGGGCCGGTTTTTAGACTAAACCAGACCGGACTTCAGACCGGTTCATCGGTTTTCCGGTTGAACCGGCCGGTCCGGTCCGGTTTTTTCTTCCTTGATCTCAAGAAGTCTAAGGAAAAAAGAGAGTAGTTGGCATGAAATTTCGGAAATCAAAAGAGAAAAGTCAACTTAATAAGGCCAGAGAAGTTATCTAAAAAGACAAAATCTAAAGCTGGAAACTGAACTACTGTCCTGAGAAAAGCCATTGAGCAGTGAGCACCAGTTTCTCAATGGAGCACCCATGTTCAGTGGGATTTCTTCTACTTCTGTCACTGTTGTCGTTCGGTGCTTGTGCGCATACTCCGGCTTCCCAGAACCCAGTGATTTGTAATCACAGTGACTTGAAGGCTTTGACCGATTTCTCTACCTGCTTTGAATCGGCCATTCTTGACTGGAACCGCTCTGCCTCCTCCGATTGCTGCACTTGGCCTGGTGTTACATGTGATAACATAACTGGTCTAGGCACGAGGGTGGTAAGCTTGGAACTTGGCAACAGAGCACTTACTGGAAGATTCTGTGAACCACTTTCAGGTCTTGATCAATTGAGATTCTTGAACCTGTCTTACAATTTCTTCACAGGGTTTCTTCCTGATGAATTGTTTTGTCTGCAAAACTTGGAGGTGATTGACTTGAGCAACAATGGTTTTGTGGGCAAAATCAACATATGCAATTGTGCATCTTCCAATCGGCTTCAGGTGCTTAAAATGTCAAATAATTATTTTTCCGGGAGCATACCAGAAAGTTTACGTAATTGTTCTTCTTTGCATCGTCTATCCATCAATGGAAACAGTCTATCAGGGAGATTACCTGAAAGCATATTTCAGTTGCGGAATCTGAAGGAACTATATATGCAGTACAATGAGCTCTCAGGGCCACTGAATAGTGAGATTGGTAACCTGTCAAACCTAGTGAAATTGGACATTTCCAGAAATGGCTTTTCGGGGATTCTCCCGGATATCTTTAACAGCCTCACGAGGCTTGAGGTTTTCTCTGCAGGACGGAACAGATTCACACGTCAGTTGCCAACAACACTGGTAAATTCTCAATCTCTTCAGATTCTCAGTTTGACTAAGAACTCTTTTGGTGGTTCCATTAATATGAATTGCTCTGCAATGAAAAACCTTACTTCACTTTGTCTTGGTGCCAACAATTTTCTCGCTCCAATCCCTGGTAGTTTATCAGATTGCCCCAGATTGGAAGCAATAAGCCTTTCCTCCCAAAATCTCAGCGGTGAAGTTCCCGTCAGCTTTAAAAAATTTGCGTCCTTAACCGCTCTTTCACTCTCAGGTTCTGCTCTACGTAATATAGCTTCAGCTCTAAATATTTTACAACATTGCAGAAACTTGAGAGCTCTAGTCCTTACAAATAACTTCCATAACGAAGAAATGCCAGAAGATCCAATTATAGGGTTCAAGAGTCTCGAGGTTTTAATACTGGCCAATACTCAAATCAAAGGCTCAGTTCCAGAGTGGTTGAGGGGATGTAAGATGTTGCAATTTTTGGATTTGTCATGGAACTCTTTAAGTGGAAGCATCCCCTCTTGGATTGGCAGGTTCGATCATCTTTATTATTTAGACTTGTCGAATAATTCCTTCACCGGTGAAATGCCAGAAAGCTTGACCATGATTTCAAGCCTACAAAACAGCAATTTCTCATCACGAGGGACTTGCTCATCTCCATGCTTGTCCTTCTACAGCATTCGAACTAGAAGGGATGCTCAAACTCCACAACGAAACAGGTTGGAGTATTCCAGTCTTTCAAGGTTCCGTCCATCTTTAATGCTGAGTCACAACAAGCTTGAAGGATCCATATGGCCAGGTTTTGAAAATCTGAAAGGCCTTCATGTGATGGATCTCAACCACAACAGACTCTCAGGAGTAATTCCTGATGGGTTATCAGAGATGACAATGATGGAGAATCTGGATTTGTCTCATAACAGGCTCAAAGGGGAAATACCACTATCGTTGGTAAAGCTGAGTTTTTTATCTGCATTTGATGTGTCTTATAATCAGTTGCAAGGGGAGATTCCGAAGGGAGGTCAGTTTGAGACATTTCCATCTTCAAGCTTTGAAGGAAACATGGGACTCCGTCGATCTGGTCCTGTTCTTCCTAAAGCGATGGAGGCTCCAACTCCAACGTCTCCCCACAAAGATGCCGAGTTGACATATTTGTCATTTAAATTCGGGGCTGCAACTGGTTTTGTTATTGCCTTCACCATTTGGTTCTTTCATGGATGGTGGTCTCCATGGGCTGTTATGCGCGTATACAACCGACGGAGGAATTAACGCCGGCACGGTGAAGCTTGCTGGTGTTCCTGGCCTTCTGGGTATCATGATATTATATCGTTTTCAAAACTCAACGTAACTTGGTCTCTTTTTTTTTTTTTCAGCCATCCTCAGCGTAACTTTGTCGTTTAACGGGTTTAGCTCAAGTTGTTGAATAATAATTAATAGAATATGAAACTCAAGGTGACTCTCTATGTACTTAGGCGTTGGGTGTTAGGAAATCCACCTATTATCGTCATTTTTATTGACGAAGGATAAAGTGATAAAAATAAATAATTTTCCGTTAAAATTTTAAAGTAACAATTATTTTTGAATAAAAATGAAAAGCAAAAATTTATAAGTTAAAACAAAGAGTTTAAGTGAATGGCGATTTGATTCCTACTATTGTTATGAAGTCAAGCTAGTTTAGATGTACCTGTCTTTTATCGTCAGAAAATACTTATGGCCATAACATTAAAAAAAAAAAAAAAAAGTTACGTTTTAAAAACGCCACACAGACATAAAACGAAAATTAACATATTACAATTTTATTCGTATTTTCTCAAATTAAAACTTAATTTACATTCTAGTTTAATAATTATAAAGCGCATGCATGTACAAAACATAACTTATAAATATAATTTAAATTGCAAAAAAGGACCAGTTGAAAACAATTATTATTCTCGAGGTCCCTAACCCACTTCAGCTGGTTCTTTGCCAGATGAGTTTATTTTGTGATCCCCATCACGTAGGGAAAAAAAGAAGGATGCGTGATTTACATCTGTTTTTGTTAATTTGGGTTTTTTTTTTTTGCCAAAGCGTGATTTTATTATTGATACTACTCCTCCGGTCCTTAATATAAGACCCATTTAACTAATTTGATTAGATTAATAAAGTTAGGTAAATTAGTTAATTATAAGAAAAGTGACACATTTTTTCTAAAACACCATAATCATCTTTCTTAATACCCCCTCTCCCTCTTCTACTTGATTATGGTTGGGGGAGTATCCATAGGGGTAATTTAGAGAAAATTAAAAAATATGAAAAATGGGTCTTATATTTAGGACCAAAACCAACTCAAAAATTAGGTCCTATATTAAGGACCGGAGGAGTATATACTTAATGTGAAAAATCAAAAGGATTATTTTCAATTTTTAACTAAACTATGTCACACGCACGCAGAATAAGGGCATTAGGTGACACTGCAGATAAATTCGAAATACTTGTGACTCGAAGAGAGAACGAGAAAAGGCCAAAAAAAAAAAAACACACACACACACACCTGTGCGAATCATAGTATACAGAAAGTAAATGAGCACTGGGATAGAGGCATGCGTTTCTCAACTTTCTCAGTCCTGTGGCTTCAAAAAACATGTGAAAAAGCCCACACTTCCACTGCAAAGATTCTATTTTCCATCCATGCCCAGAAGCAAAATCTCCATCGCCCATTTAATATACATGAACCCAAATTTGTAAAGGGTGAAAACACTTTGAACATGCGTTTCTAGGATATCAATAATAACAAATAGCCTGGATCATAGCTGGAAGCTAGAATATACATATACACATATCCAGAAGCACTTGTGAGAGTTTTGGGACAAAAATGGCGAATGAAGGTGACAGTGGCGGGTTCGCAACTAGGCGAGGAGTCCGATCTTTTGATCTCAATCGATGTGCAATCACCCCCAATATTGAGTGAGTCAGCTTTTCATTGCTCTCTTATATATATATATATATATATATATTAAACGTGTTTAATTTGTGCTAATAACTTGTTTTTCTGTGTTGCTTTGATCTGCTCTCATCGTAAACTACCCTTGCCTGGTCATTTTTGTTGTGATTTGGATATGGGGCTCTTTGTTTCAGGAATATTGTGGCAACATTCGTCTTGGATTGTGAGTTGGATCTCAAGAAAATAGCGCAGCAAGCTCGCAATGCGGAATTCAATCCCAAGGCATGCTGTCATAATATATATATATATATATATATATATATATAATTCCTCCAGTTACTTTGTTTCAACCATGTGCGCATCAAATTTAGGTCTCGTTGCCACTGATTCTTAAATGTTGTCAACGCAGCGTTTTTCTGCTGCCATTATGAGAATAAGAGAACCGAAAACTACAGCCTTGATCTTTTCTTCGGGGAAGGTGGTGAGTGCTGCCTATTCTCCTCGAAAATTCATATATCGGGTTCTGTTACCTTCTGTGTTGATCTTCTCCGAACTGAACAATTTAATTATCAACGCTACGAAGCAACATGTTTCTTCCTTATCTTGCTAGTTAAGGTACTCGATCGATCATTTTTTAGTATTCTTGTGTCCTCCAGGTCTGCACGGGCGCGAAAAGTGAAGCAGACTCAAAACTTGCTGCGAGAAAGGTAAATATTTCACGTAGTGTACTGTACTGTAGCATTTATGAAACACAACATGCACGATTTTTGACTCGGCGGTTTGTGGATTATTGAGACACCACGTAAACCAACCAACAAAGAGACACACGGTGTTTTGCTTTGAATCGATCAACTAATGAGTTTATTCATATATGATAAATTCACAAATATATATTTGAAATTCTGCCAAACTACTGATGATATAAAGATCTCTGGTACTCAGTTTGCCCGAATTATCCAAAAGCTTGGGTTTGAAGTCAAGTTTAAGGTACCTGTATGTTTAGCATGAACACAAATTTGTTAGAGCTAAGTTGATCTATATTCTAACTTGAATCTGTGAGTGACAACAGGATTTCAAAATTCAGAATATGGTTGGCTCCTGTGATGTTAAGTTCCCCATCAGACTTGAAAGTCTCGCATGCTCACATGCGACCTTTTCAAGTGTAAGCCACATGTTATTAATTTTCAAAGAATTTGATCAGTCATTTGCCTTTCTCTTGTTAAAACTAATTGCTTTTTTCATCAAGCACTTACTACTAGATGCCGATTAACAAATCTGAGTTTTGCAGTATGAACCGGAGCTCTTTCCAGGTCTAATATATCGCATGAAACATCCTAAGATTGTACTCCTCGTATTTGTATCTGGAAAAGTTGTGCTTACGGGAGCCAAGGTATCCAGCTAGCTCCGTTAAGTAACTTTCTCCTTAATAATTAAGCTTGCTTTGCTGCAAAAACCAACCATATGCATGTTTCATGAGTGTTGACATGTTATCAGGAGAGAGATGAGATATACAAGGCCTTCGACAATATATATCCTGTCCTTGCTGGGTTCAGGAAGATTTTTAAAAATGCAGTATGAATTGATAACCTTTGCGTATGCGTCTGGGATTTCAAAGATCTCATTTTAGAATTGATTAAAAAAAAAATCCAAGGCTCTTGATGAATCTAGCGTAGCCAGTGGCCTCGGATGAGAGAGAATTTATCTGTACTATGAGATCAAACACTCTGATCTTTTCTGGGAGGTTTGTCGTTTGTTTTGATGCCTAGATGGATCGGTGGTAATCTGTTTCGAGTTTTCTATGTATAAAGTCACTTCGATTGAGACGATGGATAGACTAATCGAACGCGCATGTTTGCACATAAAACACCTGCGAATTCTTCACTTTTGCATTATTCAATCACGTGCGTAGGAATATTAATTATATGTGCCATGTGAATCAAAATATTCATTTATATTATGAAATAACTGAGCGTAGGCGATTTGCCAGCACAATCTAAACAAAAGTTAACTAATATCAAGTGAGTAAATGATCTTAAAATTTGTACATTATTATACTCCTCCGGTCCTTATTATAAGACCCAATTTGACTTTTTATTTGGTCCTAATTATAAGACCCAATCCATTTTTTCTCTTATATTTATGCATTTTTTTCCAAGATAATCCTTCTAATAATGATAGTTTTAGCCAATATACTTAATTAGCAAGGATATTTTAAGAATGATAACACTTATTTATTATAAATAACCAACTTAACTTACTTCCTTAATCTCCTCAAATAAGTCAATTGGGTCTTATAATTAGGACCGGAGGAGTACTACCTTTAGTCTTTAATATAAAACCCTATTTGACTTTTATATTAATCCTAAATATAAGATCCCAATATATTTTGTTTCTCATATTTACTCAATTTTTTTCAAGATAGTTTTTCTAGTAATTCTAGTTTTAGCCAACATATTTGATTAGTAGGGATATTTTAGAAAAGACAATACCTATTTATTACAAATAACTAATTTAACTTTTTTTTTTAATTTTTTTTAAATTAGTTAACTTGCTCTTATAATTAGAATCAGAGGTAGTGCTTGATATTAAATTTTGTCTGATACAACGCTAACAAATTTTGTTTTTGTTTTGGTCAAAACATTTATGAAAACATTTGGAAAAAAAACCAGAGTAGGCTTAGTTGCCTTTTTTTTTTTCAAGGCTAAGATGATCAAATTTAATACTTTCCTCTTAAATTTATGAGACAGTATTTCCATGAAATAATTTTGCCATATTAATATTGAGGGGCATAAATGTCAATTCATATAAGCGAGGCAGATATTACGAGACGAGGTGAGGAGAGCCAATATGTGGCAACGGTTTTTTGTCTGAATGATCAAATACGATTTTCTTGAAATTGTTTTGCCTCCATGCCTTTGCTTCTGAAGTTCCTCTTCCTTCTGAATGAGACTCATAATTAAGCTATAGAAATATCTCGTAAAAGAAAGATCCAAGTTTGCAACTTTGCAGGAGGAGATAAGTAAAGGGGATGGCACAGTTCGCAACACAGGGTAGCTTGAAACTACTCTTTAATGGAGAGGGAGTGTCGTCTCTTTTGGAACACAGGGACCCATTTCACTACAAGTTTAGATCAATTCAGACTCACAGGCGAAGGCTCGGCTATATTGGCTCATCAGGTAGTATTTACTATTCATCATCATCTCCAAGTAGCAAATCGAACCGTTGCAATGCCGAGGCACGCCCCTCGGACTGTGTCTATGATGAAGGTGATTCTGATGATGAGTTTGAGAGCGATAACTTGGCTTGTTTCAGAGGCCTGGTGTTAGATGTATCGTACAGGTCATTTTTCCCCATTATTCTCTTTCACGTCTGCCGTTTTGTCTGAGTATGATACTTTAGGATTCCATGTTTCTTCTTGGATACTCAAGTTTTGAGGTTCCTATTTGAATCCCGCTGGATTTTTCAGTTCATAACTTCATGTTATTCAGGGATCAACAGATTTTTTTTTCAATATCATACTGCAGCTTATTGATTCTGAACCTTATCAGTTATTCTTCAGTTCAGGTCCTATTTGGCTATTATATCACTCCATACTACACTTTGAGGTTTCATAGTTTGGGAATTCCATTGTATGAATATGATTTTTGTTGTGATAGTTGTATTGTTTGGAGAGATGTTCCTACTTTGCTAGTTTAGGTCGTAGTTCCATTGAAAGAGTTTGAGAAGCGATCAGAGTTAGATTGTTTAGCAAAGAAAATGTTTTGGAAGTCTAGTTTATTCGTCAAGTGGTGTTAAACCGGAAGAATATATATTTTGGATTTAAATTGACGTAGTAATGCTTAATATCATGACTTCAAATCTGCAATAAAGCAGGTGGATGAGAGTATTGATGCGTAAATTCTGGTATTTCATGTTATATAATCTGCTCAAATATTACTGCGTAATCTGTCCTGATGTGATTTCAAGATAACTCAGACAATATTGATAACTAGTTGATGAATGTGGATAGTGTGGCGTTTATAACTTTTGATTTTCTCTTGTATAGTCATCAAAATATCAACAGCCCTGCTCAGTTGTTTGCTTATGGTTCTGACTGCTTCCATCCTGCTCCAGGCCAGTCAATGTTGTAGGCTGGAAACGTGCTATATGTTTGGAGTTTATGGAGAAGGTTAGATTTTTCACTTCAACCTTTTTTATGGTAATTGTAGTAATATCTGCAATTATATTTTTAATTCATGTTATTGGTTTGGGATAGACTGACAAGAATTTTGTATTAATATGTTGTTTTGTGTCCTTTTCTTGATACCATCACATTTATTTTTCCATTTAAAAGTGGAGTGTATTTCTGACAGGGGTTCACTTTTGATTCTCACATGAGTAACGTGTGTAAGAAAGATTTGTTTATTTCCAGGTTACGTTGTTCAATGTGCATATAAACAGGCACAGATATTAATACCCATTCACTATGACCCCTTATATCCTCACTTTTCTTTAAATTTCCAAACAGACATGAATAAATTCTAATTTAGGTTAATGTCTTAAATCTTGCTAATCCAGGCTGATGTTCTAGAGTATTATGATCAAACGGTGAACTCGCCTAGCGGGTCTTTCTATATACCAGCGGTCTTGAGGGTCAGTAATGCAGTGATGCTTATTTCTTTTGTGTTCATTGTCTTCTCTGACCTTTCCTCACAATTCTATTAGCACCATTGGCTCTTGCCCTGTTTTTTTTTTTTTTTTTTTTTATTTCCAATTGAAGTTACATGCCTTCTTCACAATTAGTAGGACTTAACATTTGCTTGCTATTTTTCTGCTTTTCAATCCAGATGTGCTAAACATGTTATTTCGGTACAGGTTCCTTATTTACTTCAAGTTGTTAAAAGAAGGATCATCAAGAGCAATCTTAGCCGGAAAAATATACTATTCCGGGACAATTACACTTGCCAGTGAGTATTATTTTATGAACTGAGTATTGGTTTTCTGTCGGTATAGTCTTCCTCCGAAATCAACAAATGCAGAGAGTGACTGAACGTTTCTGGTCATGCTTAGCTTTAGATATAGAGCTTTATACTGATAATGTATTCCCCTTTCAACAGGTATTGCTCTTCATATGAGAATTTGACCATTGACCATGTAATACCTACTGCACTGGGTGGAGAATGGAAATGGGAAAATCTAGTAAGACAATCTGTTGAATCCATATACGAATAACACATGAATTTCTGCGGTCAATTGGTTAGGTTTTTTTTTATCCTGTCACCAAAGAACCCTCATGTGCTCCTTTTTGGGCTTGGCTTATCGTTGTATCCCCCAACAAAAAGAAAACCGATGGTATGACAAAAGGATCACTCACTGCTTTGAAAACAGTCTTTATGGGGTATTAATTAATTTTGATATCAAGTTGGCTGAAAAGCCTGATTGAGACATAACAATTCTAGTAGACCATTAGAAATCGAAAATATTCTGATCAAATGAACTTGTTTTGGCGCAAATGAAAATTTCATTCAACACCAAGAAAGAATACAACAATAAACAAAGATACAGTCCTTTTAGGAAAACAGAACAAGGCCGAAACAGGGAGAACAGAAGGCATGACTAAACAAGCTTATTATCTGCAAGAGAGCTGACCTTTGAGAAAGAATAAATGGGAAATCACTGTGGCATATAAGTGTTCGAATATGCTTGATATCCACTCCATCTCTCCTTACCACCACCACCACCACCACGAAGCAATAAGGCTAGTGGAAACTTAGGTGATCGAAATGAATGAGAGAGAGAGAGATAGGAGATATGTTAGCCCTAGCCTCAAAGACCCAAATCCATCTGTGTGGAGCCTCTTTACCACTTATCAAGCCCTTATATAGTGTTTGATATCAACAGGTTACTGCTTGTGTCAAATGCAACTCGAAGAAAGGTCATAGGACTTTAGAGGAAGCAAAAATGAAGCTGCTTAAAGCTCCAAAGGTACTGTTGCTTTACTAGTTAGTAGTTACCATGAATTTGCTTTCTCCCGATTAACATTGCTTCTCTGTTCTGTATTCCTTATTGGATCATGATTTGCGTGTCCTGGTCAAGGAACGAATAGACAACTTGATAGCTACCGATATGATCCCCCAAAAAAAAAAATGATGGCCGCCAAAGAAAAGACTGCCACTATCAAACTCTAATATGTCATTTGCATAAACACAACTGAAACATACAAACTGTTTTTCATGATATTAACGGGTTTTAACTTCGATTTTGCACCATTAACGAAGAAGAATGCTACTGTTGTTGGTCAGGCCCCGAAAGACTACGACATACTTGCCATACCCTTAACAAGTGCAGCTCTGAGAATGCTGACAATGAGAAAGGGAACACCTGAAGAATGGCGCCAGTATCTAAGGTCCTCTTAAGAGCCATGAATTCATCTCTCGGGTCATCCCTTTATATGTCATACATTCATGCTCACCAAAAACCTAATAAATAGAAGAGACTTTCTCGTAAACACAAGGACATGTTAACCTGAAAACCCCCCCCCCCCAAAAAAAACCAAACTGTACTATTCATCTCAGGAATCTTGTTAAATATATGTATAGTAGGTTCCTGCACGCTGTTGAACAAGACTGTGTATGTGGTCTTACTCAAATTGATGTACAGAATTAATATTAATATTATAAGAGAACGCCTGTAATTGGGATTGCATTTGCATGTCCCTACTCTGAAGTGATGATAATTAAATTAATACTACTTTCAATTCTCAATATAAGATTTTATTTAACTTTTATTTTAGTTTTAAATATAAAATCGAATTCATTTTGTCTTTTAGATTTATTTATTTATTTAAAAATAATTTTTTAATTTACTTAAATTAGTTAACTAAGATATATTTATAAGTGGGAGTGTAGTAGAACGTCTGTGCAAGTGTGGGGATGGAACTAGGTTGCAGACATGTGGGTGACGTCCCTTCCAGCTAATATCAGCTTTTGTTACATCTCCCATTGCCACTTTTGACTTTTGATGCATTCAAAGAGGGTAACGTGGTAGTCTTATTATGATGCTCGTGAATTGTGAACAGTGATTCAAAATCAAGTCGCCCAACCGGGATCATTGTAGTAATGTTCTATGAACAGTTGAGATTGCGGATTGAATGGCGCGAATAGAAAATTAGAATGTGCTGTAAAAGATGGAATGCTTTGATGAGCGGTGACAATTAAAATTGAAAAAGATCCCAAAGAACGGGTGAAATGATTAGCAGAGGGTGGTTGGATTTCGAGGGATTAATCCTCATGTGTTTGATATGATGACACTGATTCAAAGGGGGGTGTTGGAATATGGAATTGTTACGTTTTTCATTGGGAATTGATTTTTAGAAGCTGAGTTGTAAATTAGTATTAAAAAAGTCAGATGCGTTTCTGGTTAAAAAAAAAAAAAAAGTCAGACGCGTCACATTCTTCTGTACAGTATTTGTAGGCTCTGGGTATGGGACTGTGGGCGTGGCTACGAAAACATTTGTTGCCCATTATTTGAAACCATGATATTTTTTTTTGCCAGAATTTAAAACGATAATAATAATTCAATAATGTTCCTTCTCCTTGCATTATTGCAGGAAAAAGATCCATTTTTTAAAAAAAATAAGGAATGAAAAAGGCTCAGCAACGAGTGAAGCGGAAAATATGTGAAGAGGGATATTGAAGGGGGTGCGTCAATGATTGAGCTGGGGATGGGAAATGAAAAGAGTCACTGCTTTGCTAATGGGTATATAGGCTTAGGAGTAGAGGCTATTTGATTTATCACATCAGGAACTACAGTTTAAAGATTCTTAGTAAATTAATTAAAAAATGTATTATATAGAACGTGAGCAGACCTTTTCTTTGACTTGAAGATTTGCATATAGACCTCAGACATACAACTAAAGTATATTTCATCCAGATTGTATTCCCTTCAAGTTTGAAGGAAACAGACAGAAAGAAAGAGCGGTACAATTTACTGCATGTTAATTAAAGTGCCCCAAAACCTTCAAAGAAAAAAGAGGAAAAAAGGGGGGAGGGGGGGAATTCATGGTGAGTTTCACTCTGTGTACAACCTTACTTTTGTCTCTTTAATTAATATCTTCAAGTAAGTGAACATTTTAGTGGAGAGAAGTACCTAATACATTTTTATTTAATACTCTGCTATACAAATTTTGTATACTCTAATTTAAATTTTTATTAATAATTTTTTGATGAAATTTTCTTTTCCAATTTTTGGTTGGGTGACAACTTCTTCCAATTTTCCCGTGAATACTGGACACATAGAAGTTACTGCTCATGCCCTCGCCTGCCCGCCTCTTCTATTCAAATTATTACTTCCAGGTTCATCCACCTTCGCACTTCACGTGTACTCATTACAGTACTCGCTATTTACGTATATACTTGAAAGTTGACAGACACGTTATTACCTGCGCAATACATCAATAATATTTGCCTGAATAAATCCTCACTGGTAGTTATTTCCTGAAGAATCTAACCTCCCTGTTCAATCCATCCTTTAGTTATGACTATGAGCCATCAGGCTCAGGCCTCAACCGCCCTTAACTCAGTTTCTCTGCCCCTTTATTCGCTCCCTGAGATGTACTGATAAACATGAAACTACAACTTCTCTCATCCATAAACTTTAAGGACTACAGCATAACAAGGACTTGAGCTTGAAGAAAGAGGTAGTCTCTGTATATATGTGGTCACTTCGCACAGAATCTGTGCCTGAGCTTCTCATGCTTCGTTTTCAAGTACTTGGCGGGTGGTCAGGAAAGTGCCTACTTGTTCAACTCAAAACCTAGTTCAAAGGGATAATAATAGTTCATAGAATTTATCAGTCACTGGTGAAGGATACAAGATTGGGTATTGTTGTTCATGGTTGATGGGGATTGGAGCCTTTGACGTGATGGACTGCATAACGTGAGGGGATTATGGGGCACTGTGAGACGAAGGGACCAAATGGCCCTTATGGTCATGAGAGTGACGACAAAGTTGATACAGAAAAGTGCCATTATTCATGAACATACGCGTCTGTTGCTGTCACACCCTCTCTTCTTTCAAACTCCTTCATTTTCAATTTATTGCTCATCCAACCTCTGACCCACCCCACAGCTTCATCATCCACGTACTGTTGGATGGGTTTACGCTTTGTATGAATCTCTTCTCTTTCACAAATCCATTTCATGAGGAGGAATTTTGTCATCCATTCTATAAGCATTCATTTAATATACCCATCCCCAAGAATAACTCGATCTCAGCTTCTGACGTTATCTGGATATGTTTGGTAGAACTGGATTCATGGGGTGGTGAAAGGTTGGATTATCCTCTTGGCCATGACTCGTTCAGAGTGAGTTTGATTTACCCATGTGATGTTTGCTTTCCTACATATCCCATCAAATCAGGTGAAAAACCTACCTGAAAAGCATTAGGCAATCAAACTGATGTGTAAAATGCAATTCGCATATCCCTCTCTCAAATTCGGAACAAGTTTGAGACAGAGTGAGATACTGTTGGCACTTCCAAGTTAAGATGCATTGAATCTTCACATATAATTTTCAATTATAAATATTTTTATACATCTCTTAGAGTGAACATCGCTTTTTTTTTTCCGCAGTTTTAGGTAGAGTGGCGGACCAAACAATGAATCATAAATAAATAGAGAATATCAATTAATTTTCTTAACAACTAGATTTGCTCCTTATAAATAAATATTGAATTCAACACAACCGTTACTAGGAGGGGTTTCTATTTTCTTTCGAAGATAGGACATTTCCATATTTCCTGGCCACAAAGACATCTTATGTTAAGGAGCATAGTTAGTAGCAGATCCCAGTCATACCAGAAATTACTCTGTCTTGCTTAACTTCTAGAGGTTTATAAACCCTCCTCACACGACAATTTATCGTTGGACCACAATTAAAAACATTTTAAGTGAATGAGTATAAAATATTTATTTTTAGAGACTAGGAAATCTGAACCCGAATGCACGCTGCTACAACAATCAGTCTCTGATATGGCTTCTCGGATTCTTCCATTTTATCTTTTCAGAGTTCTGCAAAAGAATCGAAAATATCATAAAAAGAAAAAGTTGTATAACAGACAGTCCTCTCAAAGCAGACCTGATTACGTGGAATTATTAAGTACTTCCATTGTTTTGGCAAAACACCAATAAACAAGTTGTAATTTTCTTTTTTTCATTTACCAGGAAGAAAAGATTTCACCTGTCTTTACCCAGAAAAAAATTACTTGTCAACTCTTCATTTACATGCAAAAGGAAGCGAGAAAGAGGTAAAAGAACAGACTTGGAAAACTCGAATACATAGACATTGAAGGTTAGTTAGTGTGGCGTATGGTTATTACTTATGGGTAAGTGCATGGGATGTAGAAAAGAGATAGGGATGTTAGATTTCTTACAGATTGATTAATAAATTGGATTTGTTTTCTTTTATATCTGCCGACAAAAAACTGAGGGCCATAAAGGGGGCACTGACACAGAATTGTGACACCAAGGTTTGGTCTTCTTCCTCTTCTCATCTCTCTTGAGAATTCAAAAAAATACATTGACGGACATGGATGTTTGCCGGAATGCATCTGTTGCCGGCGACTGCGAACAAGAACAAGTCATCTTGTCTTCCTGCCCAAAGCTTTCTGCCTTCTCAACCACTCTGGACGACCTCTTCTCTTCTCATAACACGGTCTGTTTTCCCCTTTCTTTCAAAGTTCCTGACTTCCTGTACCTCTCTGCTCTGAAATTCCTCTGGGTTTTCTTGCAGGGCTACCCCTTCTGTAGTTTTAGTTCAAGCTGTTTACAAAAATGGTTTCTTTTGTTGCTAGCTATATGCTTGCTTAGTCTTTATCTCTAAATTTTAGCTCGCTGTGCTCTGTTTCTTCTCTTTGTGTCTTATTGTGTTGCTAAGATTCTGTTTGTGACTTTATTAATGCAGGAAGTGGATGTTGGCTTAGAATGGCTTTCTGTATTTGTGGAAGACTGTTTTTCCAGCCCAGCATGTTGCCTCTTGGCACCTACTGATGTTCAAAACACAGAGGCAAACTCTAAACCCTCCGTACAATTACAGAGAACCCAGCAAAAGCAGTCTCCTCTGCAAAATTTTGTGGTGCCAGGAAAGGCAAGAAGCAAGAGGAAAAGGCTTTCAGCCCCTAGAACCAAGGGCCCATTAGGCAGCTGGTCACGCCATTTGAACCCACAAAATGAACCCATAACTTCAGACCCTCCTCTTCTTAAACAGGCCTACTGGTTAGCTGATAGTGAACTCATGGTACCCAAGAAGGAAGATGAGCAAGTAGCAGCAAAGGATGGAGAAGCAGAGCGAGAGGTGGAAGAGAAGAGAACTGTGAGGAAGAAGGAGAGTTTTGAAAGATTAGTCCCAGAGTGTGAAGAAGGCAGCAATGGGCAGAATCAAATGCCGAGAAGGTGTACCCATTGCCTTTCACAGAGGACCCCACAATGGAGGGCCGGACCATTGGGTCCAAAAACACTATGTAATGCATGTGGAGTGAGATACAAGTCCGGTAGATTGCTTCCAGAATATAGGCCAGCCAAGAGTCCTACTTTTGTAAGCTACTTGCACTCCAATTCCCACAAAAAGGTCATGGAGATGAGAATGGCTGTTCTGTCTTCTGTTTCTAGTGAGGACTAATTGTTATCATTATGATATGTTTTCTTGTAAATCAAACTTCAGAATTCAGGAAACAGGCATATTATATTGGTTAGTACCTAATTTCATGTCATCCTTTTTTCTGAGCTTCGTGCTATGCACTTTAATTAGTATTAGTTCCTTATTCCCTAAACCAGAATGTTTGAGTCGAGATGGACCTCTGGTGTTGCCTCTCACATTTACTATTAGGTGTTAGGTATCTTTCCGTTGTTGAGGATTTAAATCAGGAATCTTAAGATGAGCGTAGAGTCACTAACTAGCTAACTCCATATCTGTCATTTTCACAAGGGAAAGCTGTTAACGTGGCCTCCTGACTTTACCACTCTTTCCCATTCTCTTTTCTTTTTCTTTTCTTTTTTCCCCCCATAAATATAATAAATATATCATGAATTTTGACTCTTTATCATATGCTGTCATTATAAGCTTGTGAAGTGCCATTCACATTTCACTTTCGGCGTCGGCAATGACAAGGAAGATAAGATGATCCATTACAGTTTGCCCATACTCGTCATGACTCTCATATTTTAAATGCTGGATACTCCTATGAGACTGGAATCTGAAAATAAAAAGGGAGGAGAAGAGGGCCAAAGAGTACCTCATTCTTATCTTCTATTTTCTCCTCCATCCTTTGATTTGATTCCTTATTCTAAATGGGTGCACGGGAAACAGTTTAATTTCCCGTATTTTTAAAAAGAGAGATTCTTCTTGTTGTCTTCTTGTGCACTTTATAGCCGTCCTCTGAACAGTCTTAAAACTAGAACCAGGTAGAAAATTGGAAATATTGCCAGCTCACGACTAATTAAATTGGTTCAACCACCCTTTTAACCCTTTCATTGGTTCAATCCTGTAGTAATCCAAGGTGGGACGGTGCCACGGGGGATAGAATTTTTTAACTAATGTTACTGTGGTAAGCAACAATGGGAAACTGTGAAGCATTTTCTTAACATATAGTCGATTTTGATTTGATGTGCACCTCAACCACTTGGTGCATGTGCAGAGTGTAAAAAGAAAGGCAATATTCGTTGTAATCAAACACAGACATCATAAAGTTCAGTGACGATTATTGCGGTTTGGAAGACACAGGGGGCCAGATTGACGCAAGTATGCAGGATCTTATCTTTGCTTTCACTTTCATTAATAATGACATCTTGGTGGGTACCTGTGTTCTTACTGAGGGACCTTGTGCACTGTGAGCTTTTATTTATCCTCTGACAACAACGAAACATGGGGAAGGAATCCTGTTTTATGGTTTTTCACTGAGAATATTTACGTTGCTTCTCCCATCCTTGAAGTGGCAAACCCATATGATCCACGCAGACATCAGATTAAACCATTTGATACATGTACCTTTTATCCTTGAAAGGCAAGTATACTCTGCTTATTGGTTTCGATAATATTACTGGCGGTTCTATATTCTTCAAATTTTAGGTGGCATAGGCTATGCCATTTTATATACCATGCTATGCTTCTTAGAACATTAACTTTACCATTACCACTTTGTCATGAAACCCTTCTGTGCAAAAGGTTTGGGTTGATCAGGTTTTGAAGATTTCAATTCTTTCAGAATTAGTTATGTTAGCTGAACAGGATAGGAACCTTCTGCATCAAGAAGTTCTTCTTTTTCATACTTCCCTTCATGAAAGAAGAAGTTAACATACCTGTTTGGAGGGTCAGACAGTTTTCTTGGTGGGTTTTCTGTGAAATCATTGCGTGCAGGCTTTTCTCAGTTTTTATTTCTTCTCATGGTAAAGATGGAAACTCGGTTAGTTTCAAGTTAATAAAATCATTGCGTGCAGGTTTTTCTCATTTTTTCAAAAAAGATTTCTACCCATGGTGAAGATGGAAACTCAGCCACTTCCATTTAAAAATGAAACAATATACATTGGAAGAAATAAGTGCAGGGATGCAATTAACAAGGAATTGTCATTGCATTGATAAGAATTTTTCGGATGTACCTGTAAAAGTCGACTAATGGAACATGGCAACACTTAATGATAACAAAGTGTAATTAATAGAATTTGAGGGTGCAAAACACTTCCGCATTTAATTATTACTAGTGCGTTAGGTAAACATTGCCAACACATTTGAATAGCTGTAACCGGACTAATAAGTTGTTATAGTATCTCACAGAAGTGTTTTTTTTTTTTTTACATTTTCCTTGCAGAATTATCTTTTCATTTGGGCACTTTATGATTTAGTATGTTTAATGGAATGGCTCAAATGAAATAATTATCAATAATATTTTTATATCAAAATGAGAAATACCAAATATGTACCGAAGTTCATAATGGAACTTTAACATTTTCCTCGTAGCATACTAAAATATGATATGGTTGAGCTGATTTTTTAGGTTCAAAAGTTGCAATGTCTTGTTCGTAATTCTATTTACCAAGATTTCAGACGCATCACGCGCCTAGCACGTGGGGTGGAGGTGAGTGTGAGTCGAGCAAACGTAAAGAGGACACCATCGTTGGAGACTTGTGCCGTGAGAGTAATAAATGATGTCTATCCTCAGCGAAATGGTTGATCACTATTTATTATCATTACGCCAAAGGAATGGGTATCAAATTCCTCCACTGAACTCAAACTTCAATTTTCAAAAACAGAACTTTAGTCAAAGATGGAATCACTGATTATTGAGCTGGCTGATCCCGAGATGTACAAAAGTTGCAAACTTTGGCATCAGCTTGCACATGGGATTACACAAGCATTTCCAGAATGCTATGGTTGTCTTATGGGACAGAAATTAAATTACCTATGCCCAAACGCAACTGTTGAGTTGGTAGGTGTTAGAGGGTTAGGGGAGATCCCATTATGAAGTATGGAAAAGCAGTCCCAGTGCCTTCCGTTGCATCATATGATCTCACTTGCTTTGTCTGCCTCCTAAAAGATTAAAGCCTTTGGAATCACATGGAGAAGAACGACACAGGGGACTGCAACATTTGACTTTGCCAATCACACACTGTTTAAGTTTTGTTCATGTCGTGTGTGAACAGAGCGGCTTCAGTCAAGATATAACGGCATCACAAGAGGGGGGTCATCATTGTGAATCGATGAAGTTTAGCCGTTTAGGAGCTGTGGGTCCATTTACTTCAAATTGTCTTAAGCATTGGATGCTCATGTTAAATCAACCTTTTAATCTTTGGGTTATATTGATTCTTTCATATAAAATGTCAACCAGTCGTGTTTTCTTTTCTTTCAAAAAAATCCCTCCAATGTATTTGCTCCAGAGAGGTTGCTTCCATCTAACTCAAAGCGATGAGTCATATCCCATGCAAATACCGACAATAAACAACACTATGAGAAGGGTAGAAAGCATCAATTCTCGCAAGGCATTAGTTTACTAAGTGATCATCCAAATCAGCGGAATGGTCACTAAACTGAATCAGTCAACTAAATATCACAAGGACTATAAATATAATAGAACTGGTGGTAAATATAAATATATAATATAATAGTACTCCACTCTGATCTATGTACAAAAAAAATCTAAAAAAATAGGATCATGGATAATGTGATAAATAAGGAAGATACGAATGAGGACATCAGAGAAGAGGATGATGAAATCTGAATCATAAAGTTGCACGTGGGTGTTGAAATATTCTGCGTGGTAATCTTGGCCAAACCTTGAAAATTGCAGGCCATGTCGTCCTGATTTTGCACCTGGTAATACATGTTAAATGCATACGAGGCATTGCCATTAGCATCCAGGTTGTTGCAAGAAGACCCATATCCAAGTGCTGTACAGTCTCCGTAAGTACAGGCATAGTTAATATTATCAGCAAGTTTACTGAGATCTTTGGCATCAGGGTTAAACATGCACCACTTTGAAGATAAATATTTCACATTCTGGGCTCCTATTAGTAATTTGTTTTGATTCTGACCAGAAAGATCCATTGGAAACTTAGGCTGCCCATCGTACCTGAATATTCCCCAGTGACGCTCGAAGTTACCAGGAGCTATGCTCTTGGCATCTTCATCAATAAGTCCAAATAGATAAACTTCAATGAATCCAGGGCGAAGTGGTGTGCCTTTATTTGCCGCAAGCCTGGGCAAAAGCCCATTGTAAAACCTTATAGCATTGCCTACATTGGCGTTCTTGTCCCCTTCTGTAGGCCACCCTACTTCTCCAACCAAAATGGTCATGTTTCCATATCCCACTGCCTTCAGAGCAGAAACTAAGGTATCAAAGTTTGCATCAAACACGTTTGTGTATTGAATCCCATTATCGTTTACAGGGGTGGTAACGCCATCAAAGAAAGCGTAGTTAAAAGGGAAATCATCGTTCCCATAAAGACTTAAAAAAGGGTAGATGTTTACAGTGAATGGCGCACCATTCTGGTTCATGAATCGGACTATCTGGGTCATGAGATCATTTATATCAGCCCTGAACCTACCTGCAGAAGGAACAGCATTATTTGTTGGGGACTCGTATACATCAGCATTTAAGGGCACCGTGGCTTTTATGGTGTTTCCAACACCAGCTTCGTTAAGGGCATTTTGAATGTTCTGTAGTGCTGGGAATGTGATATTCAAGAATGAATTGTTATAAGATTTTAAAAATGGTTCATTCCCAACTGCTACATACCTGTAAAAGATGGAAAGCATATTACATATACATCACAGAAAATATAGTATTTCTCAAATGCAAGAAATTTCTCATCAGATCCAATATATACTACACCGGCAACACAAGTGACAAAGAAACAAGATGAGAAATACAAATTAAATGTACTTCAATCGTTCTAAAATGAGAAGAAAATCTAAAGGCCACGATTGCACTTGCTGCATTTGAAATATGATGAGAATTTTGGCGTCCCGTCCAATTTAATCAAGACATGATCAGCAATTTGACAAATCCCATGAAACTAAAAAAGAGTCTTAGAGTTATGGTTAATCAAACTTCACTTCCAATTTAGTCGTTAAAGGAGGTAAGAAGTGGAGAGGTGAAAGCAGCACGGACAGAACAAACATGACATACACGTTCCTGTGTTCTGATTACTATTCGTCCGTAATGGACCCTAACCTCTCTGCCTTTTCCACATACAGTATTCTCCTCAGCCTTATACAGCATATGGCTAAGTGATTCATGCACCAAACATGTTTCTCCTATACCACATAAAAAGTTACTGAAAGAAGACATCACTACCGAACAGGAATCTAATCCTGGGGCATCACTTGGTGCTACAATGAGCTTATGTGAGAATATATAGAGCTGGGTCGCTTTGTGAAGATTCCTTGCACACTTGCGCCTTCAAGTTCTCACCAGATGGGCTGATAAGCAGAGCATATTTGCTCGTTTATTCCATTTTATTATAATGGGAAACGGGATTGCTATCCCCTCTGAAGAAAACCTCACTTCTAAAGCCTAAGGAATCGAGTTTAAAATCACTACATGGATTAAAAGAACTTCAGAATTTGCAAGATCAAGTTGATTATAGTTCCCGCCTCCCTAGAACTCCTGAACAAAGGCAAAAGTCACCGGCAACAGAAATGTCATTTTCCTACCTTATTATCATTTAATTAATAAGTATAACAGCTTCAGAACTAATAATATAACTGCAAGATTTAGAACACTCTGGAGTCTGGACACATATTATAAATAGGGTAAAGACAAAGGTGAATACTTTGTGTCATTGCGTCAGAATCATACAGAAAATTTGTAAAATGAACTCACTTGATGTTAACCCCTCCTTTGAAGTTGTAACGCGTAATATTCTTTTTCACCCACTGTTTCGCTCGATCATAATCATTCATCGCAGCAAGCTGATTATTAGGAATGGCAACCATGACTTCGATCCCCGTACCAGCCAGAGCAGTCATGGTGTTATCAGCTGAATCAAACAGCTTCACTTTTTGAATTCCATTGTCCTTCAACATTTGAACCACTGTGTCTGGAGGCAACTGATGAGTGGCCTGAGTACCCCAATTTACACCAAGCCCTTCCACGTGACGACCCATGATCCAAACCAGCAATACCCATTTCAAAATCCAAATCTTTTCCATTCTCCCCCAGTTTCCCGAGAAAATTGCAACAATTTCCCCAGCAAAACAATAAGGAGGGAGACGAAGAAATAATAAGATGGGGAAAAAAAGAATGTTTGTTTGCTAAAACTCTCTTCTCTTTCTATAAAGAGTGAGAAAACAACTGCTTCTGTGAGTGGGCTAGCGAAATCAGCGAAATTTTAGCGACACTATATCCCCACGATTCGAAAAGTGAGACGGCGAGAGAGAGGAGAACAGAGTGGGGGGAAGACAGAATCGTTTAATCGTTTAACTATTAAAAGAGCGTAAAAAAAAAAAAAAAAGAGTATCTAAAACGATGGCAACTGCGCAAAGCTGAGATGCAGATGTTCTGCAATCCTCGGCCTTATTAGTAGGGTGAGAACCGCCAATGCTGTACCCAATTGCCGAGATCGATTAGTGTCGATTAAACCGAATTGGTTTCTTCTGAATTGGGAAACAGAAAGGCCAGAGGAGTTCGGATTGTAACAGACACAGAGTAGCGCCTATGGAAGCAGGGAAAAAGTTTTTTTCGGAGCAAACGGTGAGAAATAGAGTAGAAACAGAAAACGAAGATGAATGACAATGGCGTACGCGAGAAATTAAGAAAAGGGAAAGTAGAAATTGACAGGCAGAGCCAGAAAATAATCAAAATATAGCCGAGTGGACAAAAAGACAAATACCCCACAATGAGGTGATCTGAATCGAGGTTTAGAGCCCTGCAAAGATTTAACGGCTAGAAAAGTGAGCTAAACGCAGGAACAAGTTTTTCGAAAATAAAAACCACAAATTTGAAAACGATAGGAGCTGAAAAAAATTTAAAAAACGCGTGAAGGAAGGGGAAGAAGTATTGGCTTTCCATGAAAAGAGAAACTTCCTTGTTTTGAAAGCGAATTCTAGAGTCGGAGGCCCGGAGCCCAGCTGGCCCCGCGGTTTTTCTAGGGAAAGGAGAGATTATGAATTTATGATTCGGTTTCCTCGATAAATCAGTAACGTTAGCCTTTTTGGGATGGCAGAACGTTAGCTTTTCCTTTTCTTTTTCTTTTTTCCGTTGCTTTAAAACTAGAGCGGTGCTCCTGTTGCCACCATGGTTGTATAGTGTATTTTTCAAATGCTTGTTTGGGAATAGAATTTTAGACACTTTAAAAATATTTATTTATGTAGTTCAAAATAAAACTTATTATTTCCATAGATTACGAATAAGTTTTTTTTCCCAAAAGAATGTTAACACTATTTCAAATAAGCATGAAAACAATTTGATCTACTGTTCCCTCTAAGATCTCTTGGATACGAGGAAAATGGAAAGAAAGGGAGCAGAAAAAAATTTTAATGAGCTTATTTTTAAAAACTGAAGAAGTAGGGTAATAAAATTTTGATAAAAAAATATAAAATAAAATAATAATTAAAACTAATCAAAAAATTTAACCCCACTTCTTCAATTTTTTAAAATGAGCTCATTAAAATTTGTTCTCTCATTTTTTTCTCAATTTTTCTCATATCAAACCTACCCTTACCCTCTGTTTGAATGGGAAGAAAAATTGAGATAAAAGAAAATAAGAGGAGAGAAAATAGAGAGAGGAGAAAATTGAAGAGAAAATATCATCACCTCTCATATTTGGATAGACAAGAAAAAACAGAAAGGAAAAAAAATGAGTAAATAGATGGATGGTTGAAATACCTTTTCTATCATATCAAAATATATCTTGATTAAAATCAAATTAAATATAATAATAAAAAATCATATTTACATTAACATAATCATATAATTTAAAATCAAATTATTTGATAAAGATATATTATCATGTTATTATATTTTAATATCAAATAATTTTGTAAAAAAAAACAATTTATGTAACTTAATGTTAAAAAAACCAAAACAACAATTCTACTTGTTTTTCCTTTCAATTCATTTTAGAAGGATTTTTGTAATTTTAGTTATTTTATTTTTAATCAAGCAAATACAGAAAAAAGACTTGATAATGATAAATAAAATAAAAAATGAAAAAAAAGGTATTATTTTGCTAAAAAAATATATGTAAGGGTAGAAAAAAAAATATGTTTTTTTCCTCATTTTTTCTCCATACGAAGAGAAAAGTTAGGAGGAAAATGGGCTGTGAAACCCACCTCATTTTCTTCCCAACTCTTCTTTTCTCATCCAAACATGAGAAAAATCATTTCTCCTCCTATTTTCTTTCATAGTTTTCCTTTCTTTCTCATTTTCTCTCCATCCAAACATAATATTAGGGAGATGAGTAGGACAACATGATCTAACAATTCTAACAGAATTAGACTAACAAGATTTGAAATGGGATTAGGTCCGGGTTGGCGCGCACCACTTTGACCTTGGGGGATGAAAATAGAAAACAAACTAATAACTTTGAAAATATTTTATTTTTTATGCATTCACTAATATATCCCCAAGTAAAAAAAAAAATCAATCTTTTTAAAATGTTTACTGTTATTGATCGAGTAACGCCTCCGGTATTTCCCTTGAAATGTTACACGAAACGGGCTGCTTCAATTTTTATTATATATATAATATAATTTTATTAAATTTAGTAACATAGGAGTGAATGTTATATATGTTGGCAAAAAAATTATATGCACTTAGCGTTTTTTTTTTTTTTTACCAGCATATGCACTTAGCGTTTTGTACGTTGAGAGTAAATCACTTTTGATCCCAACACATCAATTTTTTGTTCGCTTTTTTTTCTTTCCAAAAGGTGAATATTAAACATTTTCGTTGGCAAAAAAATATAAAACATTTTCATTTTAAAAATGGAAGTCTCATTCTCTACTCCGCATTCCGAACAAAAGTAAGCAGAGGTTGAGAGAGAAGGAACGAGGGTCTGGCTTATTCTAAAGATTGTTAAACCATGACCGTAAATAAAATTCAACGATCCGGATTTTGTTGTTGTTGTTGTTATTTTGCCAACAATGATAACAACAGCTTATCCATCTCATCTAACAGAACGCCTATAATGGCGGTAGCAAGCGGAGAAAAAGGGGGGAAGGTGAATTTTGGAGAACAAATGGCTGAGATTATTGGAGGAAAAGTTTGAAGAACAACATCAGATAATAACAGTTTACTTGACATGCCACCTTTCCCGAGTTCACTCCACAAACGTAATCTCTTTATTTCCATCTTTCCTTTTTTTGACCAGCTATTTCCATTTTTCCTTGTAGACACATACACACATATATATATATGGTTACTTTATGGTAGTATCAGCACCAATACGATTAATTTCAAATAATGAGTTTCTTTTTGTTCCAATCACTGTTAGTTTTTAAGAATCAAACCAAATATACTGTACTTTATAATACTTTATTGATATTTAAAATTTTAATGTTAATATTTTTGTTAATATAACTACGGGGTCAACGAATTACAAAAATTACTATAAAATTAAGAGATTAAAATGAAATTTTGTGTAATGTTAAACAATTAAATTGCACTTTTGTTTTGTTTTTTTTTTCTCCAAATGTTTTTTGGCGCGTGGGGAAGGTGATGATTGATACCTTCGAAATCATCAGTTGCTAGCTGCTTCCAACGACTCATAATTGTGTCCGTCTTGAGTTGGTAATGAAATTGACTAGAGCCGATAATATGGTTAGGCCCACACCAAGAATTAGCAGGTTGGTTGATAAAAATTAGACCGTTTTAAAATAGATTTTTTAAGCTCGTAAGCTCAAACATGTAACCACAGCGGGCTAACCCGCAGGATTGGCGGGCCAGCCCGTTTTTTTAAAAATTATTTTCTTTTGAATAGAATGCACCATATAGAAGTCATGAGTCATGATTGGGCATTTGACACATTATGTTTGTGACTTTGTAGTGTTATACCATTGTTAATTTTGATTTATGTTTTAATTTGGGTGTTTATTAAATCATTTTGGATGGATGGATTATGTAATCATGTTTAATATTTTGAGATATTTGAAAGTTTAAACTTTGTATTCTATGTTTTATTTTTTATAATTTCTACATTTGCATGTTTTATTTTAGATATTTAAAAATTTGAGTAAATTTTATTTTTTAAAAAATTTGGCGGGCTGGAAATTGGCGGGTTAGCAAGCCTAACTCGCCAACCCACCATGAAGGGCTGGGTTGGAAAAATCTCAGCTCGCCAAAAGGCGGTCCTAAAAAGACTAAACCGTAGGTCTTCATGCCGGTCACAAGCCATCCCGTAACCGGCAGGCTAGTCCATATTACTAGCTCTAAAATTGATCATGGGTTGAAATGTCAGTCCAGCCCTTCCATCATTAAAAGAAAAAACAAAAAATCCTATTTCTGCCTTAACATGGGCAAGAGACGAGCCCACAACCGCTTTTGAATATGGGCCCGTTTTATGAATCATTGATCCCTCTTGCCGCGGGCCAGCTTTCAATTTTCGTTATTTTATTAGATATAATTCTATTCAAGATACTACTTCCCGTCCTAATTATAATTAGGACCGGAGGTAGTACTATGTAGGATAATTTTCAAACTTGAAACATCGCTACATGGACAAATCCATGTGGGGCCCTGTATTATTCAGGAGTATAGCTGTTCACAGGACAAATTAGGACCGGGACAGGCCCGCCCGTCCCGATGAACAATAACGAGTCTCGTCCCATCCTGGTGTTGTTCCAATCCTGGTTGGGACGGGACGGATCCGGGACAGGACCGAGACATTCCGATGTTTTTTTTAATATTTTAATAAAATTTGATTTTTTTAATTATAGTTTTTTGGGCTTAGACCTTATAAAAACATCTTTTTATTTTTTTTATTTGTTTGGACACCCTTAAACAAAAGCCCAAAATATTATATATAATAGTCATTAAAAACTTCGAACAAAAGCTTTTAACAAAATAAAAACTTGCTAAAAATTTTAATTATCAATAGTCTCAAATCATCAACAAATATAAAAGCTCTAAATAAATATATCCATAGTTCCATACAATAGTCTCAAATATGAAAAAAATAATATTATATAAATAGAATAAAAAATAAAATAAAAAATAAAAGGGACCAGAACGGCACCGGGACAAGACGACCCCATCTCTTGTCCCGTCCTGTCCCGGTCCTTTTTATTGTCCCATCCCTTCCTAATAAGGTTAGAACCAAAACGAGTCGACCGGGATGAGTCGGTTTTGAACACCCTTATTTAGGAGTGCCCTTAACACGATAAGCACAAAAGAAAAGGACAAACGCAAATTTATATGCTTTTGGTCATTTGGTCTTATTTTCTTGATCTATTTCGCGGAAACCGAGAGGCCTGAATTAATGGCAACAACTTCAAAAGAAAAATGCCCAGGCATGGCATATGGAAAAAAGATAGCCTAATATATAAACTTGGTTGTTTCATGTACACTGCGACTAGTTAACTTCTCCAACCAGCAGCCCCTCCAAAAAAAAAAAAAACAGTTGCCCGTGCCAACAGGAGGCAGTTGTAGTTTAAACTTTAAAAGCAGCGAGATGCATGTGACCAACATGTTGTGACATAAAAAGAACGCTATGATCCAAAAGCGTTGATATATCTCATACAGTGTCCTAGCAATCAGCAAAAGCATGCTCGGGACGAAACCAGTCGCTTGATATCACGAGTTAAAATTTCCAAAAGCATCCCAACTGTTCGAGCAAATGCCGAGCTCAATTGGGAAAGCCTGTTTGTACACGTTTTTGGATGGACTCCTATGCCATTTCTTTTAATGATATATATATATATATATATATATATATATTTCAATTTGACTTAAAAGGGCAAGACACTAATAACCTAAATTTACAAGCGAGATCAAAATTACTATCTCCCACTTATAACAGAAGGTTAGATGCTAATGCTATAAGGTCATTGGCTTCTTTTAATGATACCTGATATGTACTTCATTTTTTATATAATGATTTTTTTTTATTTCCTCTTCGTTATAGTTATAAATGCGCTTACGCTTTAGGAAGTAAAAGGACCCTGAACGGCTAACTATTTAATGAAAAAGTAGCTTTTATATATACATAGATATATTTAATGTTTATTTCTATTATTTAAAACTTATTTATATTTTGATATTTCGATTAATACAAATGTTTATCTTTCGTGGATGATTAAACAAGATTTTGGAGACTATCCGATTTGCTTTTCTGTTTTTTTTTTTTTTTAAGGTTTAGTCTAACTCTTGCCCATAATAAAAATACTTGCGCTCCCATGAAATTTATTTACAAAAAATTGCTCAGTTGACAGCATAATCATAATATAAACAAATATTGGAAGTTTGGAACATATCCACATGAAAGACTGAGAAAAATCAAGAGTTCATTTACTGAAGTTTAATCAGGGCTTTTCCTGATTAATTAAGATAAAATGAATGTGAACAATGTTCCTTCATACAATATTGGCCAGTTGTGCATTCAAAATTTCTGCATTCTATCTGTGATTTCCCACTTTTCCAAAGGCCTCAATTAACATCCAATATTTTAATGACAGTCCCAGAATCAACTCGATGCAATGCCACAACAGAGTCGCCAGGCCTGCACAGTTGATGAGTCTTGGCATATTCAAGAGCAAACTCAATGGTTCCTTGTGTTGATTCAGTTTGAGAAGCTCCTGCAGATCCTGTACTCAAAACAGGCACCAACCCACGGTAGATAAGGCTTTGTCTCGCTGGTGCTTCATCACTACAACACCATTCGAAAGAATCTGTAGCTATTATCTGAGGAACTACCACTGACAAAATTGGCATGCCTGGTCTGTACTTGGACACTAACTTAGCCGTCGTTCCTCCTCTGGTTAGAACTAATATCAGAGCCGCGTTTATGCAATTTGCAGTTCTCACTGCTGCAGCCGCCATACTCTCCAAAGGGCTCATTGGGGTTGGAGCAGTTCCCATTTTTCTCTTGAGCAGTTCTCCATAGTTGATGAAATTCTCTGCTTCAACACATATTTTGGCCATGGTTTGGACTGCGATTTCTGGGTATGATCCCGCGGCTGTTTCCCCACTAAGCATCACACAGTCTGCGCCGTCTAGAACTGCATTGGCAACGTCAGTTGCTTCAGCTCGTGTGGGCCTCGGAGACTTCACCATGGACTCTAGCATCTGGGTGGCTGTCACTACTGGTTTTCCCTGCATATTTGCCTTGTGGATCATTACCTTCTGGGCAAGAAATATCTTCTCCGTTGGAATTTCCATCCCCAGGTCTCCCCTTGCCACCATGAATGCATCCGAATTCGCAAGTATTTCATCGAAGTTGACAATCCCTTCTTGATTTTCGACCTGACACGGCACAAGAAATCAGATCAGAATCAGTAGAGAGGATGGCTCCCCCCCCCCCCCCCAAGAGACGGGGTTTGATTTACGACTATATGATGATACCTTGGACATGAGAAGGATTCTTTTTGCGTGTTCCCCGAGTAAATTCCTGACCTCCAGAAGGTCCGAACCTTTGCGAACAAAAGAGAGAGCGATAATGTCTATGTTATTAGGAATCCCCCACTGCAAAATGTCCTCCTTGTCTTTGTCTGTTAAGGTTGGAAGATCAACAACCACACCAGGAAGATTAACGTTCTTCTTCTCACCAAGGATTGCTGAGTTTTCACACCTACACCGAATGGTACCATTCTCTCTGTCACATTCCAGCACAGTGAAACTAATAGTCCCATCAGCGCACAAAACACAACTTCCTGGTTCCAAATCGTGAGCCAACTTTTTGTAGCTCATACTGATCATATTCTCGTCCCCTCTTATGCTATAATCTGTTGTAACAGTAACCTCGTGTCCTCTGTGCAGCTGTACGGGGTTTCCATCCTTCAGAAACCCGGTTCGAATCTCCGGACCCTGTAATTGAATTCCTGCATAATTAGACAAACAGAAAGGCAGTACAATAAATCGAATAAAAGAAACAAAACACGGGATCAGTGTAAGAAGTAGGAACCTTGGTATCCAACATGACGGCACAGAGGATGCCGGTGTTGTTCATGGCAGTCCGGAGATGATCAAGGGTCTGTTGGTGATAAGAGTGAGAACCGTGAGAGAAGTTGAAACGCGCCACGTTCATGCCAGCCTTTAGAAGCTTCTCCAACATCTGCACGGATCGACTAGACGGTCCCAAAGTGCAAACGATCTTAGTCTTGGGCCTCACACTCTCTCCCGCCATAGTTCCTGTCAGCGCCCTCTCCAGTCCCCTGGATCTGATAAATGATATCGGGAGGCCGGAGAGTATATGTAGGTGAACAAGTTCTCTTAGCTTAGGACCCAAGCAAGGAAGGGTTCGAGGGAATAAGGAACGATGCGTCGCACACTGCTGGTATTGCTAAATGCTAACCACTTTCTTTTACTTTTATTAAAAGAACGATGTGAATGCGCTGGGCCATAAACAAAGGAATCGTGTGACTTACAAGTTTGAGGGCATTCAACACGTGATCGATGCTAGCTAGCAATTCTGGTCTTTAATTAATGAGTTACAGAACAGTACAAGACAAAATCAACATATGACTATATGCAAGTCTAAGGAGGAATTAGTCACGATGCAGAGGAGAGGCTCTTTTAGCGAAATGATAATTGGAAAACAAGTTTAATAAGGATAATTAGTGGATACGATCATCTTCTTGGACCATTAATTCTCTGAGTATCTAAATTCAAATATATTAGTATTGAAATACGAGTATAACATTTCTCAAACTTAATGTTGAGATATGTAAAATAATATAAAGTAGCCATAAAGACATTGTTTAAATAAAGCATATTCTTTCTTTTATTAGGAAATCATTTTTTTCTAATATTTATATAACCAACAAATCCTACTCCGGACAAGAGTATTTTCATGGTTTCGTCTATTTTGAAAATTCTTCCTATAATTTAAAATCTTTTTCACAGCCATATCAATATTTTGGCATCCTTACACTCATAAAAAGAATTTGCTTTGGTTACCTGGTTGTTGAAAAACAGTTCAATGCTTCTAAATATAAACTATTTATTTTCAACACAAATGATTTTGGGTTTTAGCTTTTTATAATTATCTTCGAATAACGCTCAGAACCATTTTCGTCATTTCGACCTCTTAAAAAAATTTACAGCCTAAATTATTTTCTCCTATTTTTAGTTTTTCTTATTTCAAGTTTCAACTTTCCCTTTCTTTTTGCAGGAAGCCAATTAAATACGATACCGATTATAGTTGAAACATGCATTTTTCATTAAAAAAAATGATATTGGTCGCCAATATATATGAAAATTAGTTTTTAAGTAGATAAATATTTTTAAAATTTAAAAATGTTCACAGTTGTTAAATAAGTATATGCATTTGAGGGGATCAGTTGATCCATAAACTACTTATACTCAATTCGAATAATTTCATTTTTAACTTTTCTATAATTATTCTCGGTATTTTATTTTAACCTTCTACTTTGATCCTTTTTTTTATAAGAGACTAATATTTCTTTATAATGAAATAACTAATATTAATGAGTTGGTTTTAAAATCTATTCACACGTGAATGCATCATTCTGTCTCTTATATTAAATTTAGTTTTATGCTTTTATCATTTATTTATTAAATTAATGTCTTTCCCGCGGAACGCATGGATACGAATATATTTTTCAGAAAATGGAGGGACGTAGGAGCAAAAGCGTTTTCTTTTTTCATAGGGCAAGCAAAAAGTTGTTTTTAGAGTAAAATACACTTATTACTCTTCTATTTTATTTCAATTGCGAAAATATTCCCTCTATTTTGAAGATATATATAAACCTCATTTATAATTAAAATATATGTTACATAAATCTTCCTTCTATATTTAAGATTCATTTTCATCCATCTAAACCATTAAGTTTGACTTAAAAATTTTTTTGACTAAAATGCCCCTTTTTAACTTAATAATTATTTAGACATTTATATTTTTCAAAAATATGTTTTGTAAAATCAAAAAATACTTCTAATACATGTATTTTTAAATTTTTAATATGTTATAAATTTTTTTATCTAAATCATAAAATTTTATAGTTTTAAATATTTATCACATTCATTAGAAATTATTTACTTTGATTTCTTTTAAATTGTAAGAGCATATTTCAAATACATAGTTTTTGTTTATTGTAAAGTTTAGGTGATATAAGTTTGAAAGATTATATAAATTCTTTAAATTTACAATTCAAAACTTTCAAACATATCTTTGTTAAAAAATTTATAAAGACATTCAGTCAAGTATATATATTTATTGAAAAAAATTGGTTGAATTTTCAATCAAATCTTTTATATTTGCCTTAATTGAATGAAATTTATATAACTATAAAAATATAATTTAAGAATTTATTAGAATAGGGGTAAAATAGTAAATAAAATTTATTTTAATATAATTTCAGCTAAAAATAATATTTTTAAAATATTTTTACAATACTTCTAATGGTAGTAATTAATTGGACTAAACTCTATATTTTAAAAAATAAAAAAATTTGTGTAATTAATGCAAACTAAAAAATAGTTATATAGTAAAAAAATAAAAAAATTGGGAAGGTTGGAAAAGGCTTTAAGGAGCCCAGATCATGGTAGTTTTTTGTGCCAGCCCATATTCTTCTCATAACAATGAGAATGTTAGTGTTTGCAGGCCATGGCTAAAAAGAAACTTCCATTTGCATGCACTTCAGCGCTGTTTAAATATTTACAAGTATTTTTTAATTAGGGTTGACGAAATATAAGATATATATAAAAAAAATTTATTTCATAAATTTTGATTTAAGTAAAATATGTTTATAAATAATTTAAATCATGGGTGATTTTCAAAACAGCAACTTGAGTAGATATGGACATTATTTAGCTTGCCCTAGCCGCAAATATTTTATAATTGCGGCTATCTCTGATTGCATTGGAATTGACATCCACGTTGACTTGATAAGGATTAGGTTTCAAATCCCGCATCAAAGAAGCCTCCCAACTCTTTCGATTCCGTCACCGCGCCTTCAATCTCCGTGCACCCTTGTCTCCGCCGCTCTCTGCATCTGTATCTTCAAATTTTGCATTTCCTTCATTCGTTTAATATGATAATAATAATAATAATGATAATAAGTCATGCATATTTTTTTAAAAAAATTAGACATGAATTGCGGAAAAATTATTTTACTACCTCCTAGCTAGCCATTAATATAAGAGTTAGTTGACTAATTTGAGTAGATTAAGAAAACTAGTTAAGTTAATTATTTGTAACAAATAAGATTGTCTTTCTTAAAATATCATTGCTAATTAAGTATATTGGCTGGAATTATCATTATTGTACGGACTATCTTGAAAAAAATTAATAAATATGAAAGACAAAATGAATTGGGGTTTTATATTTAGATCACAAGAAAAATTAAACGAGCTCTTATATTAAGGACAGGAGTAGTAACTGTGATTCTATATGATACGTTGACTTATTAGCTTGTATAAACCACGACAACCGTGCCTTCTGCTAATCAAGTGTTTCCTGGATAGGAATGACATATGGGTTCATTTTGTATTTGCCACACTACTCGATCGTAATTAACAGGCCACCGGACGATGAAGGCCTGGTGGGTTCATCAATCTGTATACCAAACGACTGCAACTTAACTTTCGCTCCAACAAAGCAAAGCTGTACGGACATGTGCATACCTATCTAGAACCATTTGTCACGTGCAATGATGAAAAAAGCTACACATTTCAATGTTGGCGGTCACCGTTCTCTCTTTCTATTCCATTACTCTCCTCCTCCTTCTTCAATTCTTCTATATATATAATATATATATAATCTGTGTATATATAATTAAAGAAACCGGTATATGCTCAGCATATATTCAGAAGCAAGTTTTGATCATCAGAGAGGCTCGCATGAATGGTGAGAACGAAAGGTGCAGCCAAGGATGACTTGCCGGATTCTGTGTCATTCATTATATATATTTCATCTCATTCGTCTCTCTGCACATCACCAATGGATGAATCGGGCAAGTTGTCTTTGGCTCCGTCCCTCTTTCTGCCCTTCATGCCAGCCTCTCTTGGTGAACGTAAACCCACAGCTCCTCCTCCCTCTTTTTCGTCATTTCATCACACACTCGTTTCTGTCCTAAATCACACCACGCATATTCTTCTTACTCACCAATATCTCCCTTCGTATCTTATTCATAAATTTAGGTTTAATCATAGTTGTTGCAGAGTCCTATTTTCCCTAGGTATTAATTTCAGCACTTGATTTGTTATCTGATGATGATATAAGTTTTTTTGATGATGCTGTCCTGTTTTTCCCCCCCGGGGGGGGGGAATCATCTTCTCTACATATCAAGCTGAACTTGATATATCAGGTGACGCCTCGTACCGCTTTAAGAATTTTTAGCTCGTCTTACTACGATATTTACTGAGTGCAATGTCAGAGGCCCTTGGTTTCGGGGTAATTAAATAAAAAATCACCGTATCATAACTACTACTAATTGGAAGAAGAAGCCAAGCAGGATCTTTCACTTCTATGTTTCATTGTTTCTTAAACATGCATAAACAGGACGAAGGAAATCAGTCAGAGCTTCCTTTTTTTGCTGATTTTTTTATGGTCAGAAAAAGAAAATCGGGGACGAAGGCACAAGCAGTCAAATACTAGGGATTCGCATTTTGCCGAAAGGCCCACAGAGATTTGAAATCTTGGAGGGTTTGACGTTTTGGAACTTTGTGGGTAGAAATTGAGGCACGCCCGGCGCCACCGCAAAGCAAAGAAAGGCCACGTTCTGTCTTCTATCTTTTCCACACTCCCCTCTGTACTCACAACACCACTATTCTGTTCCCCGTTTGTGCAAAGATCTCCCAAAATCCATACACTTGGAAATCACAAAGCACGATTTTCCAGAAGCTTCCATCTTACCCATCCGAATTATGTGCGACGGACGGGACTTCATTCGTATATTAGGACCCTGCCATGGCAAGAGACGACAACGTTGTGTCTTCATCCCTACAGAAGGCATCCTCTGTATCCACAAACCCTGTCCTCAACTGAATTTGTATGTGAATGTTGTTTTCCCTACCGCAGATATTATTTAACTTTACCACAGGCTCAGTAACGCTGATGCGGGCCTTGTGTTAAGCCACAAATTTAATCCTTTTAATTTCTGAGTTTCATCTTGGAAGTGGAAAAAAAAAAAGAACCAGAAAAAATAATTTGAGCAGAAATAGAACTAACAGAAGCTAAAATCTTCCATTGGCGAAAAGAAGGATGTGCATTTTACAACAGCAGGGACTGAGCGGATTCCTCCATGACACAAAAAGAGAACTGGGAATCATACAGCTGACTGCTTCTGAATTGTTAAAGAACAGCAGGCTTGGATTCCCAAAAAGTAAATCCATTAGCCTGAAGCAATCTGGGAAATACAGACCACTAGACCAAAGCCTACACTACTCGACTTCAACCTTAAATTTTCATTCTCACACCAGATGCTTTAAAAAAAAAAAAAGAGAAAACTGTACAAGGGATATGGTTAGGACTCAGGGCTCACAAAAGACCCCGTCATCTCCCGGCGGTTGCCAGGGTTCTCTTCTCGGAGAGCTTCACCGATCGGCCTTGGCCTCAGCTGCCAACTCTTCGGCATGCAGAGGTTGTGCATCATCACCTACCACCTCCTCCAGTGTAGGGACATGCATAAGTTTTGATGGCTCCATTGGGAACTCTTGACCGGCAGGTTCATGGACGGGTTGAATTGGTTTGGGTTTGTAAGTGAAGTTAAGATCCTTGTTGGCAGCCAAAGCTAAGAGTTCCTTCTCCTCCAACCCTTTGGCTGGGCCTAAGCTGCATCTATCCGGGATGTGTTTGGCTAATGCATCCTTAAACTTTTTGATCTGTAATCAAAATCAAGTATTATCAGGGTTTTTTGAGTTCAACACCAGGACAAGGAAAAACAAATAAATCCTACAAATAATATGAACCCTGGGTTCACAGAACATGACGCCAAGAATCGATGGAGAATATGAAAAACATATAAACATCCAAGATCCAAATCTCGGGCTACGTTGAATCTTCTAATTCAGGTTGAAAACACTCGTCAATCTAGCAATCCAAACTCGGCATGCGAGAGCAACATGAACAATTAGTTGAATGCCATTCAAAGCATCGCTCACCAATCAATACTCATCGAGGGTACAAATAACCAGATCATGAAACTTGGAGAATTTATGATATGAAATAATCAAAACTGAAGCAGGTAACGAAGAAAAGCAAAAAAATGGAATGAAGAGGAGTAAGTTAAATACACATACCGTCGCATTGGTACAGCTAAAGCTGCATAAACGACCTTGTGAGCCTCTGTAGAAGCGAAAGAAGGGAAGAACGTGGACGCCAAGGCTATAACTCATAGCCCTATGCTCCTCATTGTTCACCTGAAGGAATAGCACATTCGGGTACATCTCTGCAAACTGGCATATCTGCCATAATACAAAAGGAAATTGATGAATCTGGGACTGAAAGGAAAAAAGTAAGATCTCGCATAATCATGGGATAAATCTATAAATCAGAACAGATTAAGGGTGAAAATACCTTTGGATGGAGGGCTTTGCAACCGCCACAACCAGGAGAGAAGAAATCAACAATGACCAACTTGTCCCCTGCGTTTAGCAGGGAGTCCACAAGGTCTTGTGCCGAAGTTACCTCTTTCATGTTGGGTTGAAGTCCTTTCTCCCACCATTTTTGAGCGTTCCCGAATACGCGGCCCATCTATAATGTTCCATAACAGCGAAAAACGTTACAAAGAGAAGTTCCATAAAATTCCTCCGCGAATTCTTTTTTTAAAGTTTCAAGAAGAAAGATTATGAAAATTTGAAGGATTTGTAAATAAGTTCCACAACTCGTCGCCTGAGGAAAGACCGGCAGAGTAAAGATTACCAACCTGAGCTGCGGTTGAAGCTCGGTATAGGGAAATCCCTTTGTAGGGTGTGCTTTTCATGACCTCAAAGACGATCTTTCTGCCATAAAATTCACTCTGCATCGAGGAAGATGAGGACCTGAGAACTTGAGATTTAAGTTGCAGAGAAGGGGACCTCCTCAAAGAACAAGAAACACCAGATTTGCAGTTTAAGTTCTTCGGAGCTACAGAGATTCTGCGACAATGGTGCCTCTGACTATTCCAAGATGAAATCAAACTGGTCTTGCCTAAAACCTCAGCCATTTAGATCAAACTGATCAACTACGACTGCAATCTAATATCTCTGCTTCTGATCACCAAGGAAGCAAATGGTAGAAAACCCAAATGAAAGCGTCGGAAAAATAGCTCTATCCACAAGAAATGGCTGAGCTGAGGTGCCGAACTATCGGCTTCAGGTGAAGGAGTGATCTATTGGAATGTGCCGCAGGAATTCGAAAACGCTTTTCAATATGTACTGCGTACGACAGACCTGTATTCGTTTTGTGATCGAGAAGATCAAACGGTGAGAAGTGATGATCAGATGGGGACGAGGCGAATAAAGAGGCAGGTGGCAAGGATATGGATATGGATAAGAAAAAATTTGGGGTCACGCAGAAGCCCGCTACATCTATGGTGAATAAAGTAGGTACGTGAACACCGCAGTTTCATACACGTGGCGTGTCACTGATACTCTCAGTTAACCTTAGATTTAGGAAATATGACAATAACTGTAAATGGATATGCTTTTGGATAACGCACAACTCGTCGGCCACCTCGTTGACTTTTGTGGGCCCTTCAACTTAGTTTCCGTCTTTCCGAATTATGTGCTTAGCCCATTGGGCCAATGGGTCACTTGATGGACCAGCCCAGCAAATAAAACCTGTGGACCTTTACAAGGCCCACCTCTCTCCCTTTCTTCCTTTTCAGTATTTGTACTTGATCTATTGGTCACACCTCATCCTGAAAACCAAACAAGTTAACCCGTTATAGTAGTAGTTGGGTTAACGAAAGGGGCTAATTCCTCACAATAGGAGGATACCTATACTTTAGCAAAAAAAAAAAAGTAGTTGGGTTAAATTAAATTAAATAGATTAGGCTAAATAACTTTTGAGATGAGATTATTTAGATATTAAATGAAAAAAAATAAATAACTTTTGAGATGAGATTATTCAGATATTAAATGAAAAAAATTGATCTTAATGTAAATTATTTAGATCTTAATTTATAAACTCGATTTTAAATTTTCAAGATAAGGATATTTCATTCGTGAAGTGATTAAATACTTAAAAATAAATCGAAAAGTAGTATTTCATTTTCCGCTGTGGGTGAAGGCATCAGCTGTAAGTTGAGTAGCAGTATCGTTTCCCTCCCTGCTCCTGCTTAAATTTGAATTGGATTCTCTGACATCAAGTTAACTCTGGACCCACGCAACAAAACAAGACCAGCGGTGATAGGACATCAAATAAAATACCGAATCCTTGGCAGTGCTAATATGCTAACCCGTTGGAAACATGTTCCATGTGTCATCAGTGTTTTCAAAAAATTTGAACTTGTTATAGAATAAGAGAGAGCAGGGAAGAAAAGTAAAGAATTAGAGAGGAGACAATATAAGAATATTTCTCATTCCATTTAAAATACTAGATACCTAATATATGCCCTGAATTTATAATCACAGCTTTATAATTTTAACAGAATTTACAAATTACATAATAATAAAAGATAATTCTGAGATAATATATTAAAAATAATAGGAGAGATATTCATAATCACACTGAAATAATTATATCCACAACCAAAGTTTTTTTTTTTTTTCCTTCCCAATGTTGTCTTCCATTACGAGACGTGCATAATTTATAATTAGGAACGAGAGCTAGGTCTAGCCGTTTAGTGCCTTCAGGTGAGCATTCGACTCGCTCTGATCTTTCAAGACTCCTGCACCCGCCTCCCCGCCTCCGCCTCCCACTCATATGGGGCCGAAGCTATTGGTTCCTTGTTAATTGTTCTGCCACATTTCACATTCTTTCAGCTTCATTTGGACCTCCACTTTTCCATGGTTTCCAGCACTTTCTCACTAGCATGCAGACGCATTACTGAGCGTGGTACAGCCTTAACTTCTTGTCCCGGCACTTGGCAAAGCAAAGGAGGAAACTCCCATCTACATCCCTATACTCCTTCAATATGCAGCAGCATGGTCTCTCTCCTCCCCTTCGCTAGCAGTTCCTTCACGCGTCCAAGAATCAGTGGCGCTATATATTTTCGTCCGCATCGCACTCATCTTCACACCCCACTTCCCCATTCCAAGACTACGGTAATTCCTTCGTTCGCTGCTAAAGGCCACAGTCTTCTCCTCTTCGCAAAGTCTGCATCTCTTGATCGAATGGCATTTTCTTCCCATGCGACTTCAGCCGAAGATAATGGCATAACTGTCAACAATCCCAGCAAGCATCAGAGAACAGGTAAAATTCGCGATGGGAATGGAATACCCAGGGGAAGAGCTTCTGGGGTGCAGTTAGTTTAATCATTGGCACTGCCGTGGGCCCAGGAATGCTTGGTTTACCGGCTTTGACTATCAAATCAGGTCCATTTCCTTCAACAATCGTCATTCTTCTGTCTTGGGTCTATGTCATCTCCTCAATCATACTTGTGGCAGAACTCAGCTTTGCTACCATGGAGGAAGATGGGATCCAAGAGGTGAGCTTTACGGGCCTAGCTACAAAGGCGTTGGGACGTCGTTTTGGTGCATTTGTTGCTTTGGTTTACACCAGTCTGAGTTTTTCCTTGTTGGTGGCTTGTGTTGCTGGCATTGGCGCCATTTTTTCTCCCTGGTTCCCCTGGCTTAAGGCTTCGGTTGTTCATGCCTTGTTTCCGCTAGTTGTTGGAATATTGATGGTCTTTTTCCCATTTAACACTATTGATTTCGCAAACCGGATGCTATGCTTCCTCATGCTTTTCTCTATAACTGCATTGGTTTGTGTGGGAATGTCTGTGGCAAGAACTAACATTATAAGTTCCTTTGGTTATGCCTCATGGAGCCTTCATCAATACTCCCGATAATACCTGTGGCTGTACTTACATTGGGATTTCATGTCATCACTCCATTTATATGTAAGATTGTTGGGAATACTGTACATGAGGCTAGAAAAGCTATACTGATTGGTGGGACTGTTCCTTTACTTATGGTTTTATCATGGAATTTGATAGTCTTGGGACTTGTAGGGGCTACCAGAACGCCCAGTTCAGGCAATTCTAATGACCCTATACCCCTTTTACTTTCAGTAAATCCATCTGCTTCATCTGCTGTTCAATGTTTTGCCTTCTCTGCTATGGCAACTAGCTTGATAGGATATGCCGTAAGCTTGCCTAAACAACTTCTTGACACATGGGAGTTGATATCCGGAAAATCTACCGTTTCTAATGGGCATGGCTGTGGAGGAGTTGGATTGGCCTTTAATTCAGGAGAATCTGGTATCGGTTGTCCAGGAAAGGTTTCCCTCGGAAGTTCAAGGGATTTTACCATGGTAGAATCTAACACAAGACCAACCAACCATTTGTTTGAGACGTTTAAAGTGATTGTGACAGTATCGGTCCTTGCTCTTGCAACCCTCATAGCTTCGTTCTTTCAATCTACATTTTCAAGAGCTCTCGATTTTGCCGGGTTTATGCCAACTGCTTTTTGTTCGGTATTATTCCTCCTGTGATGGCTTACATACACCAGTCCAAGAAGAAACTCAGGTATGGCTAAGTAGTTCAAAGAAAGATAATAAGTGGGCACACAATAAAACTAAGCTCTGACGTCTGAACGGAGGAAAAACAAGCTATACTTGTAGCAATTCTCCCTTTGTATTTTCCTATATAAAGGAACTCCGAAGCTAAGCGTAAGGCCACGAATTAAAATGCTTGATGCCAAAACCTGCTTTCAGAGCATCGCATTAATTAGAATACCAACATCAAGCTTATACGTACATGGACATATTCTGATACTCAAATTCCCGACAGGTTATTTAAAAATTACACAGTCAACCAGATGATAGCTCATATATTTTTGTCATGAAACTTCCATTTTTCTCTGAAATTATTCGAAATTCACTTTAACTGATAGCAGCACTATTCTTGTTTATTATTTTCCCAATGCTAGCCTGTTTAAAAATAAATGACCAAGGTCCTTGGCATTGACAGTGATTCTCTGATTTTGTAGGTCATCAATACTTCCAGGAGGAAATGGGGCCCTGCTCTTGCTTTTCATTATTGCCGTCATTTTAGGAATTTGGCATTAGCTTTGTTCCGTTATGGCTGCTGCGAACCTCCCGGCCTTCACCTCTAAGGGCATTTATCGTGCTTTTGCAATTCTTGGAAATTGAAAAGATTGAAGATGGTTTTCTTGGCGTGCATGAGAAAACGAGCGGATAGATTATTGTTTTGCTCTCATTAACTACGACGTATTACTGTCGGCAGGACCAGATTCAGTTCATCTTGTCCATAACTAGTTTTATATGTTAACATAGTTCATATATATAGTAATAATCTTCTGGCTTCTACATTTTCACTTCCACAGAAAAATATCAGATAGTTATCGTCCAAAATTTATCACAGCTGCGAAACAAAGAAGAGAGATAAAAGGACTTATAATTATATTATATAATTCAAGAAAAATTAAGACTAATCAAAATCGAATATAAATACGAAAGTGAGTTGACGATATTTCCAAAAATGACTTACATTTCCTAGGTAACAACAGAAGTGCAATCGCATAGCACATACAGCATACCCTGAAACCTTAGTTTGCCCTTTCCATCCTTTCTCAACGCCAACAGATCACAGATACCAGAATATTATCCATAACTATCTTTTAATGATTAAAATGATTACAAGTCCGTTGACTTTTTGTACAGTTTTTTGATCAAATCCCTGATCAACCATCTGCATGCACTAGGAGGGATGGCCTTGCCGCAGCCGCTGCAAGGAAATTATGCGGAAATGACCTCTGAAAGAACCGTACTGCATGTCATGGAGCCCTCGCACCAGGTGCAGTCCCTAGGTCCATCACGCGCAAAAAGTAGTTATCATTCCAACATCTTACTCCAGCAAGCCCAAAGCCCGCATCAAGAATGATCCTTGCATGTTTGATTAAAAACAAAGGATGAACACAGGCCACAACTACCTTCCTGACTGTTAGGGCACCTGTGATCGAGAGAACGATCCCCTCCCAGTCAATGAGGAGCATTAGCCATCTGCTATCATGCTACCAATACTAAGCGTCAAGCAACTGACCGTCATGCAGCAGTCTTTACTCTTATTGGCCACGGATTTATGTTCCTTTGGCGGCGGCAGTATTGCGACCAAACTGAATGATCATTGGCTTTCCTTTGAATACATACCCATTCACTAAATTCTGCACTCAATTGTAACGTGCAGTGTTAATCTTGAGCACAACAAGACAAAGAACAAAAGAATTAAGAAATTATAATTTATCAGCATGACTCACG